TGCTCCCTCCTACCTCTCCAACCTACTATCCCCCTACCTACCTGCCCGTACCCTCCGTTCCTCTGGCTCCGGTCTGCTCCACGTCCCCCGCCCCAACCGCCCTACTATCGGTGGTCGGGCCTTCAGCCTCTCAGCCCCGAGGCTCTGGAACTCCATCCCCCAGTGCCTTCGCCTTGCTTCCTCCCTTTCCTCCTTCAAGGCCGGTCTCAAAACCTTTCTCTTTGACCGTGCCTTCAGCTCCCCTCTCGACTCTCTTCCTCCTCCTCGCTCCCTCCCTTCCCTCCCCTCACCCTGACCATTTCCCCCCTCCTCTCTCCCTCCCTTCCCTCCCCTCACCCTGACCATTTCCCCCCTGCTCGGGTCATGACCCAACTGTGCAGCGCCTTGGGACGTCCTCCTGACGTGAAAGGCGCTCTATAAATGGAATCTTGTTGTTGTTGTTGTTGTTTTACCTGCCATTCTTACTTGCCAGTCCACCAACTCTAGGTCCCTCTTTAGCCCATCAAAATTAGCCCTTTTCCAGTCAAGCATTTTCACAGTTGACTGTACTTTGTCCTTGTTCATGAGTAATCTAAATCTAATAATATTATGGTCACTGTTTCCCACATGCTCCCATACCGAAACTTGTTCAACCTGACCTACTTCATCCCCTAGGACAAGATCCAGCAATGCTTCCTTCCTTGTAGGACTGGAGACATACTGCTCAAGAAAATTTTCCTGTACACAGTTGATGAATCTTTCTCCTGCCTTGCCCTCAACGCTGCTATTTTGCCAGTCTATATTGGGATAATTGAAATCCCCCATTATGACAACTCTGTTTGCCCTACATCTGTCCGTGATCTGGTTGCAGATCTGCTCTTCTATCTCCTTCCTGCTATCTGGTGGTCTATAGTAAACCCCTATCAGGATACCCACTCCTTTCCTATTTCTTACCTCTAACCAGATCGATTCTGTTGTCGGGCCCTCTAGAGTCTCGTCCCTTTCTACAGCTACAATTGTATCCTTAACTAATATTGCCACCCTTTCTTCCTTCTCTATTCTTCCTGAACACATTATACCCTGGAATATTTATCTCCCATTCCTGTCCTGGCTTGAGCCATGTCTCAGTTACTGCTACCACATCGTAACCCCCTACGGTCAGTTGAACCTGCAGCTCATCAACCTTATTCCCTAAATTACGTGCATTTAGGTACATGCATTTGAGGAAATTGTCCACATGTACCTGCTCTATATTTCCCACTTGTCTTTGTTTATCCTGGGATACCCATCCCCCCTCGCCATTAGTTTAAATTAGCCCCCATTCTTTAGGAGGGCTAATTTAAACTAGTGTGGTCTTCTTTAGTGGAAACAGTATCGTCAGCCATTTTTATATAATTTTGTTTAACATATGTGAATGCAATCATCTTCCACTCAACGGATGCAGGTGCAGAATCAGTGCCTATTTTTAAATTTCATTTTAAAAACAATAGCTCTGGTTTGTAGTGAATTGTTCCCCAGCAACATGACCATTTCTAGTTGAACATCAAGCCACAGGGGTGCAGAAGAATGTAGTCCCTGTAAAGCGGTGAATTGCAGACATCTGCTGAGACCATTGTACTCCAGTCCCCACTTTTCACCAGTGCTGTACCATCAAGCACCACAAACCAAAGGGAAAAGGGCCAAAATACCTTTACAAATAGCAACTGACTTCCAAAATGGATAAATACACATGCAATTTAACCTCACTGTCCTATTAGACATATTCTGCACTGTGCTCTTTTGATCGTTATTAATGTTGGCAACAGTTGAAGCTCATAGCCATAAAGAGAAGTAGGCTTATTGTGATTGCAACATTATCAGGGAGATTGGGCTCAATATCACATTTCAGATATCATGTCGTGTACATGCTGAACAGCTCAAATGTTAGTTTACTGCTCAAATGTTCTTTATTGAGCCCTATTTCCTAAATAAATAGAGCCTCATAAATGGGCTGAATCAAAGGTTCCAGTACGTGAAGTGGAATTTGGGGAAGAACAGGATGATCAACATTTATTGTACGGCCGAAGGACAGATGAGACTTCTGGAGATATTTCACATGTTTTTCTAGAGCTATAATTGAAGTTGACACCAACACAGTTTCTAATCATATCAAAGGCAAAACACAGCATGAAACGGAACTGCCAGTAAAGGAGAATGCCTCAGGCATTGCCCTTTTGATTACATTTATCCACAAGAGCAGAAGTGACATGGATAAGCATCTACCAAACCCATTTTCTTTTCAAATCATGTTTAGTTAAAGACACGGGGGTGGGGGGGGGATCAAATAAAGTCACCTGCTCCATTGTTCAATTAGCAAATACTGCTGACTGGAGTGAACCTAAACCACATGCACCCTGTTTGATTTCTGTCTGTAGATAAGCTTAGATCAGATAGTATTCGGGGTTGCATTGAAGTTAGTTGTATGCCTGGGATTTAGGAAAATCAGCCAGCATTTCCAATTCTGATAATTTATCTAATGAGCCCTGTTGGAAGATTATGGAAGACATGAATGAGCAGGACTACAACACACACCCATTAGCCTGTCAACTCGTTCTGATACTGACCTAAGTCTAGGGCCCACTCATGATAATCATCCTTGCATTTAATATAGTGCTTCATCACAGCAAGCGTTGAGATATCGTGAAGCGCTTCACAGGATTGTACTACGAAGTGTTGTGACTAATCCCTACTGATTTCAAAATCAATTTGGTTTGTTTGCCACTGCAGAATGGAATTACTGCTCCACTGACATTCCTAGCCATTCTGTTTGCAGCAAAGACTGTGTGGTGACCAAGTGCTCTCAGTTGGACAATAGCCACACAACAGGTCAAGAGCTAAAGGGGAAAACAAATTATAGAAGTGGGAGTGAGGGGGAAAAGAATGGGATGGGACATTGTAATGTATCAATAATAAATAATCTGCATATATTTGATAACAGTCCCTCATTATATCATTGAGACATCTCAAATGGCTTCACACAATTTTTACTGTAAATTGTAGTCACCATTTGTAGGCAAATGTGGCATCCAATATGCACTTACATTAAGAGGTACAGTTTTATCATTCACCAGTAGGTCAATGAAATACCAGGCCAATCCTAAGGTACTCTAAACATGTGCCAGAATGTCAGCTGCTATGTTGGAATCCGAGATCGACAGTGATATTGCAAAAACTCTGTTTCCAAGAGCCCAATACAAACTCAGCGGTTTGTGTTACAGCACCACCTCGTGGTAAATGTGCTCCATACCAATTCAGACACTAAAACCAAAACTGATGTACAGTCGTTTGTTGCTGAAAGTCAAGTTCAATTTCAGGAATAAATCTTAAGTGTATTGCACCCCTTCATTAAGTATCTGTATTTAACACTAGCCAAAGTACTGAGATGCTGGAAATCTGGTAGAAGTCTCTAGGAACAAGCAGCAGGTCAGGCAGCATGCATGGAGAGGAAAATGAGTTAACGTTTCAGGTCAATGACCTTTCGTCAGAACTGCGTTAAATAAATTTGCATTTAATAATAATAATAATAATAATCCTTGCATTTGATATAGCGCTTTTCACGTCGGGAGGACGTCCCAAAGCGCTTCACAGAACACACTGTAAAGTGAATTGACTGTATATTTGTGGGCGAACGCGGCAGCCAATTGCGCACAGCAATGTCCCACAAACAGTCGTAGATTGAAAATGACCAATTTATTATTGTTTTTGGTTTTGGAGGGATTATTATTAGGCGTTTGGAGTAAGGAAACTTGCCCAAGGTTTCGCCCTCTGCCTGGAATTGAACTCAGGTCTCTCGCTTGCAAAGAGAGTGCTCTAACCACTGAGCTACAGGACTCCACTTGAGATACATAATAATAATAATAATCCTTGCATTTGAAAGGAAACTTGCCCAAGGTTTCGCCCTGCCTGGAATTGAACTCAGGTCTCTTACTTGCAAAGCGAGTGCTCTAACCACTGAGCTACAGGACTCCACGATTGCTTACACGAGGAGACTTTACTGAAGGGTGTAACATAAATGCTTCATGTTGTCTCGCTCGGATTTGTCAAAACTACAGCAGGTATTTTTCAACACTCGAATTAAGGGCACTGTATAAATGCAAATTGTTTTTATCCAGAGTTGTTACGGTATGGAATGCACTGCCTGAAAGGGAAGCAGATTTGATAGCTTTCAAAAGGGAATTGGATAGGTACTTAGAAAAAAATTGCAGGGCTATTGGGTAAGAGCAGGGGAGTGGGACTAGTTGGTAGCTCTTCCAGAGCCGGCACAAATGGCCTCCTTCTGTGCTCTTAAGAGTTTATGATGCTGTATTTGCTAACATGGACTCTACCCAATTTACTTAATCCAAGGTAAATTTCTGTATGAATGTTCTTTGATCTAAAGTGCAAATCAAGTGAGTCTTGGACTTTTATCCATTGCTCCACCAAACCTGCTTTTCAGAAAAAAAAAGCTGCACCCAAAAGGGCCAAACTGCACAGAAACATTATATCCCAGGGCGTATTTAATCTACGTGTAATTCTTACCGTTATCACCTTTAATTCAATCCCAAATTAGTTATTTATCCAACTTTTTTAAAAAAACAAGAGTTAAACTTCCATTACAGCACACAAATGATCCGGAGAAAAATACAACTAGTAATACAAGCAAGTTTCTTGTGAGGATTTTTTTGGGGATCGGGCAGATTTTTTCTTCATTTAGCCAGAAATGTAACCCTTATGGCCTTTCTCCAAATTGCTTTCAATCAAAACAAGTTACAGTTGAAACAAAGCCCTCAGAATGTAAAACAAAACGTTTAATATTTCAGGAGGATTATGTTTCTTATGCTTATTGTGTTCTGACCCACAAGCAGGCATGAAATTGCATGCTGTAAGTGTCTATGTGTTTTTTGCCACCAATTTTATGGTAGTCAAAATGTCAAGAGTATGCATGTTCAAACCAAAAGTGCAAAGCACTCCTATCAAATCCATGCAAATAAAACACACACTGGTGAAAGGCAGGTAAATGTTTTATTTACCAGCTGTACAGCACTACATTAAATGCTTACCCTAGCTTTCACAACCCCATTTGAAGAGTATTTTTTTTACATCGTTTCCTCATCAGGCTCACTCCCTTTCCTTCACTAAAACAGTACAGCTAATACAAAAAAAATAACCCAAAGAGCTAACAAAAAAGGGGGCAGAAAGCAGATTTAATTGCAATTCACCTAGAACAGAAAAGTTTCAAGTTGAGTCAGCAAATAGTTTACATTTTCTGACATACTTTTGTGGCACAACTTCCATATCTGAAACAGCGAAAATTGCTTTTAAACTTCACATTACTTTATTTTGCAACACAAAGCACAAATGTATATAATTACTCACTCTTCAAAACTCTGCCTCGTCCCAGTTTTAAAGGGTTTAGTTAGTTCCATTACGCCTGCTTACAAATACATCTTCAGATACATAATACCAGGTTCAGTGAAGCAAAAAAGTGGGAGACAACCAAACTATAGTGAAAATATAGGTAATTAAAATTTACAACATTAAAATCTGTAAATTTAAAGGGATTTGTATTATGCTGTGAATGTGCTCATTACAATTTGACATTTTTCTGCTCTGAACAGCTTAATATGCAAATTAATTTTTACATGATTCTGCACATATTCACAAACACTGAAGAGTTTAACTCTTTCTGTGACAAATGTAATTTGTAAACGTCTCAAGCAGTGGTTAAAATGTTACTCTCCTGCACTTTCTGATACATAATCACTAGAAAAGATTAAAATGTAAAAAAGTTATCTACAACAAGCATGACCATTTGTTTCTGAGATGCTCTGTACAAAAAAAAGCGAACACATAACAACCGTCAGTGTTACTATGGATGGTCAGTTGTAAAATAATTCATATGTGGCTTGAACTTAATTTAACAGTAACACAATGATTTTTCAAATCGCTGATTTGCATTCTCAAGACGGCCAATTACAGCGGAAGAAAACAGAAAGATGAGTATTGCCATCTAATAATTGGGTTGCACAAAGAATCGACTAGACTTCCAAAAATTCACAATTCTCCAGTATTTAAAGTTTACTACAAGTCAAATTTCCACCTGCCCCACTCTTAAGTATTCGCAGGTTGGTATGGTAAAAATAGCCTATGTTCTTTGCAACATATATATATCACAATGTTTTGTGCCATTGGAAAACAATTTCCCCATTTTATTATGCAAAAGAGCTACGGCACAAATACTGTACACAATTGTTATCAGAGGGCAGGGACTAGTTCACTGCTCTTTGTGTACATAAACTGTACAAAGCATCTCATGGTATACCATTTCAGTACTGAGAAACATTCAGAAAAAATTGATTGGGTACAATTTCAACAAATAAAACAGAATTTCTGATTCATAAATAGCATTCTATGCTATAAAAAGGATATCTAGTCTATAGTCATTGTAGCTTCCTGGATGAGAATTCCTCTCTAGTACTCAGGTTAAATGGTCTAAATCATTTCATATAAGCATGTGTCAAAGCAAAAATACATGTTATCTTATTCAGCAGGGCCATATCATTTCATGCCTGGCCTTCCTCCATCACCGGTCCATCATGCTAAGAATCATCTCAGGTGTAATATCTCCATTCTGGGCCTCGATGCCCGCTTGCACCTGCACATCATCAGCATCCGGTTCTTTTTTTATCTCAACAATGATGTTTTCAATAGTTGTACTTGCTTGATCTACCGGATCTGCTCCTGTTCAAATGAAGCGTAGTAAGGTTCAAGTTAAGAATTGAAGCAGATGATAAGGCAGGTGAAAAGCAAAGAAAGGAAAAAAAACATCAGCACCAATGTTGATTACAGCCACCGTTGGAAGTGCACATCCGCACGGACAGGGGTGTAACAGCCTTGAAGTTTGAATAGCCAGCAAAGCAGTAGCCATTCTGACACATGGGTGAAGTACTAAAAGCTCACTGCCCCCACCCACCCCAAACCCCATCAAGACACATATTGTCTTGCAGTATATTGCAGTGTTTGCGTAAATTGGGATGGATGGGAAGATGTCATCCAAACAATTAAAATTTAGCTCAACCATTTAGTTTAAAATTTAGTTCAACTATTATTCTCATAATAATAATCTTTATTTGGAAATTTGAAAGACAGTTTCCATAAAAATATTTGATTTGATGTCTGTGTGAGTTTGTCCAGATTTATTCTTCCTTACAGGGAAGGAGCTAACTGAAATCTGCAACCTATTATCGTACGTTGAGATGAGTGACATGAGCCTGCTTCTTATCTTTAGACAGGACTAATGCAACGTTTCACTTAAGAGAAGTTCTCTCAAACAAACCAGTTACCAGAAAGCAAAAGCCCTAAGTAGATTTACTCTGAATTAGATGTATGGGCAAATCTAACAATGAAACCAACTGAACTATAGCATAATCTCAAACTCAAGGAAGATTTCCTGGAGCTTTATTACCTGAACTTTTATTGGACTGAATAACTTTGCCAGGTGGTCTGCCTCTTCGTTTTTTGGCTGGCGGAGGTGGGACAGTTTCTTCAACTGGCAATTCCTCAGATTCTTCTATCTCTGGTTCAATCTCAACAGATTCATCATCTCCATCATCATCATCATCGTCGTCTCCATCAAGTTCTGGTTCTGCATTATCCTCTGCAAAATATAGTGTAAACTTAGGAAATGCATTTTAGTGCTATTGTAAGACAATAGTTAAATCACCCCCAGCCATAGTACCGTTGTTAAAATACTGGAATTTGGTTTTAATAAATCCTTTTTTGTAATAAATCCTTCTTTTAAAATCCTTTTTGCAAAATGGATGCATCTTTCTCAGAGGAACAACAAATTCCAAGATTACCTATAGTTAAATAAATGCCCTGGATTTGGATATAGGGAGTACAATTTCCAAGTTTGCAGATAATTATGTGCTAGAAAAAGTAGTAAACACCGAGGAGGATAGTAGCAGACTGCAAACTGACATAGACTGACTGGTAAAATGGGCAGACAAGTGGCAGATGAAGTTTAATGTGGAGAAATGCAAAGTGATGCATTTTGGAAGGAAGAATGAGGAGAGGCAATATAAGCTGATGGTAGAATCTTAAAGGGGGTAAAAGAACAGAGAGACCCGGGGGTTCATATAAGTAAATCTTTGAAGGTGGCAGGACAGGTAGATAAAGCTGTTAAAAAAGCATACGCATTACTAGGCTTAGGGGCTTAGAATCCAAAAGTCAGAAAGTTATGATGAACGTTTATAAAGCACAGCTAGAGTACTATGTTCAGTTCTGGGCCCCACACTTTAGGAAATATGTCAAGGCATTGGAGAGGATGCAAAGGAGATTTACCAGGATGGTACCAGAATGAGGGACTTCAGTTATCAGGAGAGGCGAGAGAAACTAGGATTATTCTCCTTGGAGTAGAGAAGGTTAAGAGGAGACTTAATAGAAGTTTTCAAAATTATGAGGGGATTCGATAAGGTAAACAAGGAGAAACTATTTCCACTGGCGGGTGGGTCTGTAACCCGAGGACACCGATTTAAAATAGTTATTAAAAGAAACAGAGGGAAGGTGAGGAGATTGTTTTTATATAAACAAGTTGTTTGGATCTGGAATTCACTACCTGTAAGGGTGGAGGAAGCCAATTCGATAACAGCGTTTAATAGAGAAGTACATAATTATTTGGGGAGGACAAATTTGCAGGGCTATGGGGAGAGCGGGGGAGTGGGATTGAATAGCTCTTTTCACAGAGCCAGCACAGACGCAATGGGCCGAATAGCCTCCTTCTTTGCTGAATAATTCTATGATTACGGATTTTACTTTGAACAGCTACAGTAGAGATTTAGGGAAGTTTAGGGAACTTTTCCAACCTAGGAAACAAATTTGATTTGAGTTGGTATTTGCAAGGTGACCAATGTAAACAACCATCAGCCTGAAGTTACTTTAATCTGATTTTGAGTAAATATATTAGCCAGTTGTGTCAGTGATCATGGAAAAGTGTGGGAAGGGAGGGAAGAAGACAAGAAAGGAAAAAACAATTTTAGATTAGAAAAAAATATTCACCTCAAGATTTAAAAAAATTAAAAAAGACCATTTCCTGATACTCAACGAGAAAAACTCATCTGGTTACAGGTTTTCAAATGAAATCATCCACTCAAATCATCGGTAATCCCGTTACAAAAGAAGCATCTTACCACTATCAGAAGAGTCGCCTCTCTTCGATTGCATTTTCCGTTTCCTCCCGCGTCCCTTCCCCTTTTTGCGTTCCACAACATCTTCACCGTCATTTCCCGGCCCAGAGCAATTCTCTGCATGTTTAGTCATTGTGTTCTGCAAAGGTATGTTGCATAAATGCTTATGCTGCAGGTCACAAAAATCAAAGCACTTCACTGGATTCCATTATTTCTAATAAATTAAATTGTAAACAGCACAGAAACTGGGAACCCATGTATTAATAATAACAAACCCTAGTTATCTCTAAACTCTGGTTAAAATCGAGGAAACTAAGTAGAAAAGAGCAATTATAGAACAAAGTAAAACATTTTTTTTAACCTTTATGTACTATTCAGACTAAGTTTGGTTTACAATAAATGTTCAGGTCATTTGAAACACCAAATCAAACAGTTTTTTGTGAATTAAAAATTTCGCGCACCTTACGAGTAAATGCTTTCCCACACTTTGAGCACACAAAAGAAGCAGGGATAAAATTTGGGTCATGGTAACGTTTGAAGTGCATATCCAGGAGTTGCTTCTGCCGAAAGGTCTTTTCGCATTTGCTGCACGAATAAGGTTTCTCTCCAGTATGAGTCCTCTTGTGCATCACCATGTGACGTTCCTTAAAGGAAATCAGACATTTTTCATTAATGTGCGTGCAACAACCAATAGTTTTAATATAACCATCATAAGGTATTGATTCTCTCCCCCAGCTTAATCTACTAGTATGGAAAAAAAAATACTTGGCTAGATATGAATTATTTGGTGCTGTAAAAACAGCCACAAACTGACATTTCTGTCATGTAAAAAAAACTCAAGGCAATGGAGTAAGAAACCCTATTAGTATGCACTCTACATATACCAGGTACATCTGTTATTGGGCAGACAAGGTTCCTACTATCTTTGAACAATGTGATTTACCAAACAATAATAGTTTGGCAATATTACTGGGAATTCACATCAGTAAACAGCTTACTTATGCAATGTTCAGTTCAAAACTAGAGAAAGGGGGCTTCTAGAATCATTTGTTTTCTTAAAATAATTCTTCCAGTCACAAATAAGTTCCATGTCCTGTAGCTTGGAGTCGTGAAGCTTAGTGGTTAGAGCACTCACCTCGCAAGCAAGTGATCTTGGGCTAGATTCCCAGCAGGGCGAAATGTTGGGCAAGTTTCCGAACCCCACACGCCTGTTTACCTAGCAGTAAGTAGGAACCTGGCTATTAATCTATTGGCAGATCGTTTTTCCAGGGGTAAATAATTCCATTAAAAAAAAAAATTGGTCACTCAATCCACAATTGTTTGTGGGGCAGTGCTGTGCACAATTGGCTGCCGCATTTCGCCCACAAAATATAAGGTCAATTCACTTTACAGTATATTCTGTGAAGCTCTTTAAGACGTCTCGAAGACATGATAAGGCGTCATATCAAATGCAAGGATTATTATTTATTGTATTAAAACAGGTTTCATCTATTACATGTATAAAATTAAAATGTTTGTCCTCCCTTCAGTAAGTAAAACTACTGTTCTTTAGCAACAATACCTGTTTGCATGCATAGTCACAAAGTTCACATTTGAAGCGTTTCTCATTCTTGTGAGATTTTTGGTGCTGTATGAGGGCATATCGCTCATGGAACACGGCATCACAATAACGACACTTCTTGCCGGACTCGAGATAGGAATGCTGTTTTCTCAGATGGACACCTGACGAGGGGATTAAAAAAAGGAAGTTTGAAAAGAATAAACAAATGCCTCTTTTACAGCACAAGTAAACATGTATTTTGTTGATTTCTGAAAACAAAATGTGGAACAAGTGGCTTAAGTATCTTTTCACATCCGGCTCGAGTCCTATCCAAATTGTTGACAAACTCAAATGGATGATCAGAACGAAGATAAAATGTGTATGTACAATAATCCATAGCACAAAACTATTCATGATTGGTACTAATACTCAGAAAGGAAATAAGGAACACTGGCATAGGAAATGGAATAGTCTCACTGATGCAATCAAAAATTGCTTTCTGAAGTTGGGAATTGAGGGATTATTACCCTGATCTACATTGGAATATTTGACTGTTGGTGCAAGGAATGTTAAAATGTTCTATTTCCCAATATTTCTGAATGACATGGATCCAGCCTATTCAAACAGATAACTGCAAGGAGACTAAAATAAAGTAGCATTGAGAATTGATAAATTCATGTAATTAGAATTGTAAAGGAAACCCAAAATATTTCAGTGTTAAATCTGTAGGCTCCTCTTATTATAGCATGGTTTCGCACTCTCCCATCCGATGACTAAAAGGTGCATCTCGTTTCTACGTTGGTCTACATTACCTTTACTTAAAATGCTTAAATATTACGACTCACTTGACCACCAAACAGGTGGTTAACAGAACTACAGAAATTATATTTTACAAACCACTTACCCAAATCACTTTTTCTGGCAATAACAGTGTCACAATGCGGACAGTGAAATTTAGCCACATTCTCTGTGTGCTTCTGTAAAATGTGCATCTTCATTGTGCCACTCTGAGTGAAACGAGCGTGGCAGATGTAGCATTCATATGGCTTCTCACCTAGTTTAGAAATTCACACTTTAACATTCTATCTTATCTTATCTATTCCACATAAAAACATTTTGAAAAAGAAAAAAAACTGAGAAAAAAAATAAACATGAAACAGGGAGAATTAGAGATTCACACACAAAACTTTCATTCAACAATTTTCATAATGGTTTCATTTTTTTTTTGGGGGGGAAGATAACATTTTAAAATGTATTGTTCATATTAAGTCAAAATCAATTTTAAGTTAAAATCAAGTGAACTAGCAACACAAACTCTTGCCCAATGTTAGGAAATTTTCCAATGGCCCATTAATAGATACCATGTGATACTAAGCTAGAGACTAGTAAAGTCTTTGGTTCAGTATTCTGTGCTGAGTTGGGGTTGAAATCCTGGGAATCCCGGTACTGGGATCCCATATGGTAATGGTGTTCCCCAAATCCTGGGATTCATCGAAGAGAAGGGGCAGAAGTGAGGGATATTCACAAATGTCATGGGTAGTCTACGTCACTGTACAAAAGCATTTATCAAAAATAAATGTATGATTAAACTTCAATGAGAACAAACGACAAGCTGTAGATTACAATACCAGAGTGGGTCCTCATGTGCCTTTTCAGTTTGTAGGTGTCTCTGCTGGCATAGCTGCACAGACTACATTGGAATGGACGCTCTCCAGTGTGGGAACGGATGTGGCGCTTTAACTTGCTTACCTGCAATAACCAATTTAACAACCAGTTTTTATTACAACTCAAATCAGTTAAATATCCAAGCACTGGAAAAATAGAATGGTTTTAAGACTTCTGTCCAAATTAAGGTTCCATAATTGAAAAATACTTAAACATTTGCACCTTTAAACAGAAAAGCTATAAGTTACAACATTATCTGGGAAATAAAAGCACAAATTAGAACTTTTTGATGCATTGCTATCAGGTGCTCTTCCAGATCATTAAAGTAAACTACATTTAAAAAGAGAAATACAAAGGATTTAATAAAGGTTCTAAGTATTCAAAGTGATTTTCACAATCATAACTTTAAGAATGAAAACTCATTCAAGTCAAAAATGAAATATTAAAACATTATTGTGTCAGTCTGGCTCAGTTGGTAGCATTCTCGCCTTCGAGTCAGAAGGTTGTGGGTTCAAAGCACATGCTGGAACTTGGAACTCAGTCTAAGCTGACACTCAAATGCAGTGCTCGGGATGTGTTGCATTGTTAGCGGTGCTGTCTTCATAAAAGTTTTATGAGGGGCTGTGAATAATTATTCAAAATCCAAAGACCCAGCAAATCAAGTCCCTTGAGATTTCATTTTAAAAGTCTATAATCAATTATACTGCCCGAGCTAAAGCATATTGCAGAGCAGACAGGTAAAACCACCTAAGTATAACTCCTCCATACAATTTTGAGTTCTACTTTGTCTTTCAACACAATTATTAACATCACTCCCAATTAGAAAATTTACTGATTGTAAATCGTTGTAACATGTACAGGGTTGGGGAGGGTCTAGGTAGGGGAGGAGGTAGAAGAGAGAGGAAGGGGGCAAGGATATTCTACGCTAAAAGTACGATACATGTACTTTTTCCAACTGTGCCTGGTTCAGGTGAAAATTAATGATTCCATGGTATTTTTTTGAAAAGAGAAGGAAGCTTCCAGGCAACAATTCATTTCATGGTGCTTTGCAGGTTGTACCTGTGAGCAAATCAGCATTGTGGCATTAGCCTACAAATTACAGTCACTACAATTGACAGAAAATCATGCAATGCACTTTGAGACATTCTTCCGACATGAAAAGAGCTACTGTTATAACAGGATGATTATTATGACATTTCGATTTCACAGGTGAATGAATTTACCTCAACAAATATTTAATGTAGAACTGTGGCACTTAGTAAACCTAATGCAAAATCTACTCTATATAGAGTAATAATAACCATCCTGGCATTTGACATAGCGCCTTATCAGGCGGTCGAGACATCTCAAAGCGCTTCAGAGGATACACTCCTTACCTCCACACTGGCATAGTCACACATAGAGCACTTGAATGGCTTCTCATGGGTGTGTTTGTAACGACGGTGCCTTACCAACTCTCCACTAGTCACAAATGCCATATCACAGTCAGGACATTTATGTGGTTTAGTACCTACGAAGAATAAACAAATTAACTAAAATTCCCCAAAATAGTATCAGGGTTGTTTTTATAACCATGAACAACAACAAAATTACATTTGTAAAGCGCTTTCACGTCGGGAGGACGTCCCAAGGCACTGAATAGTCGGGGATCAGGACCTGAGTGTGGGGTGGGCAGGGTTGGGACGCAGGAGGGCAGAGAAGTAGGAGGGCGGCTGAAGGCACGGTCGAAATGGAGGGTCTTGAGTCATGCCTTGATGGAGCTAATGGTCCAATACATTATGAAATAACATACTGGACTCCACTTCAGGAACTTGTACATTCAAAAGTCTATTTAGCCAATCCCTGTCAAGAGCAAAGCGTCAGTGAAGAATACCCACTAACTTGTACAAAGCAGAGTAATGAAAATAGCTAAGGAATCACCAGAGGTAAAGAAGTGTATACCTTTTAGAATTGTGACAGTTTAGAAAAAGTAATCTTTGGTTGGGGAAGCTGTTTTTGATCTCTTAAACAGGATAATAATCCTTGCATTTTAATATATCCTTGCATTTTGATATAGCGCTTTTCACTTCAGGAGGACGTCCCAAAGCGCTTCACAGAACAAACTGTAAAGTGAATTGACTGTATATTTGTGGTCGAACGCGGCAGCCGATTGCGCACAGCAATGTCCCACAAACAGTCGTAGATTGAAAATGACCAATTTATTATTGTTTTTGGTTTTGGAGGGATTATTATTAGGCGCTGTGTGGAGTAAGGAAACTTGCCCAAGGTTTTGCCCTGTGCCTGGAATTGAACTCAGGTCTCTCGCTTGCAAAGCGAGTGCTCTAACCACTGAGCTACAGGACTCCAGGATAAGACAGGGCCGAGTTACTTCATTTATATTCCACAGCATTTATCTCTCACAGAAATGCAAAGAAAAACTCAAGAACTAAACCACTAGATAACCACAACCATTAGGGTTTAAGGTGTCCCAAATACACCCTGGGCTGACGTGTGGTACCACCACTATAATTTCCCTTTCAACATACATTATCCTTGCAAATCATTCCCATTTCAATTCTACATACCCAGGCAGTAAAACATGGGCATAGCCCAATGGCTGAGGTGGTAAATTGTTGACACTTCTACAATCCTCACGCAACCGAACCAGCAAGTGTAGATCAGGAAAAGGATCCCACTCTAGGGATTTATTTTCCTGCTCATACTTCTGTGAGGTCTTGAGATCAAAACCCTCAGAGAAACGACACAATTCAATCTTTCCCTTGAACAGTTAATTTATTCTTTTGGGAATAGTGTTATATCTTACCTTACTAAGCCAGTTCAGAGCCTTGGGGTTTTGTTTGACCCTCAACTATCCTTTCTACCCCACATCTGTGCCATGAACTGCTGTTTCAATCCCACCTCCGCAACATCGCCCGGCTCTACCATTGTCTCACACCACAGCCGATGAAACCCTCATACATGCTTTCATTGGAGAGGCTTGACTAAGCAAACTCCTTGCTAGTCAGCCTCCCCAAACCCTTCCTCCATAGGCTGCAGATCATCCAAAACTCTTCAGCCCAGGTCCTCTCCTGCACCAGGATGCATGATCCTATCACACCCACCCTCGCCCGACTACACTGCCTTCCCATCACACAGAGGATACAGTTCAAGATCCTGGTCCTCACCTTCAAAGTACTCCATGGTCTTGCTTCCCACTACCTCTGCGACCTCCTACTCCCCTACCATCCTGCTCGTTCCCTCCACTCAGCAGGCTTCGGCCTGTTTCACGTCCCCCACCTTGCTCGCCCCACTATCAGCGGGTGGACCTTCCGCCACTCTGCCCCCACCCTCTGGAACTCCATCTCACAGTCCCTCCACCCCGCCCCCTACTTAGCCTCCTTCAAGACCCATCTCAAGACCCTCCTTTTCGTCCATGCTTTCAATCACCCTGCTTCCCCATCTGCCCTCCCCAATCCTGACCCCCGGCTCGGGTCCGAAACGCTGAATGTCCAGCGCCTTGGGATGTCCTCCCGGCGTGAAAGGCGCGATACACATGTAATTTTGTTGTTACAAAAAGGAAAAAGAACAAATAACAAATAAGATCATTTAAAGCAGCCAAAGATCATAAGATCAAGCACATGTGATGCAAATTGAAACCTTTTGTTTTTAACGAGAACCAAAGGAAAGCATTCAATGTCTTCTGATAGTATGTTAGAATCATTAATTATTAAGTAGTTACACATTAAAAGAAGAGTTGTTCTGCAGATTCAGCCACAAGCTACAGTGGCTTTCATAATTTCCTGTATTATATGTAAGAGAAAAGTATCACCCCTACCTCACCCCTCCCCCATGCTCGGGTCCTGACCCCTAACTGTCCAGCGCCTTGGGACGTCCTCCCGACGTGAAAGGTGCTCTATAATTGTAATTTTTTTGTTGTTGTTGAGAAACTTACTCTTAGTAGTATGCTGAAGGGCCATCAACATCTAATTACTCTTGTTTAATGGTCTTAAAAAAGTTAATAATAATGCTTGTATTTGATAAGTGGCGATAAGTGGCATTAAATTGAAATGGAAGACATGATTTTAGCAAAATTGTACAATTGGGATACCAAAATGCCCAAACGAGGTAACGAGTATTACTGGGAAAAATACATTGGAAAATGTTCCACTTTGAAAGCAAAGCAGTTTTCAAACTTCAGGGTCAAAACAAAGATCAATTAATACAAGCAACTGGGTATTGGAAAAAAAACTGTCTTTAAAAGAAAAATCCTAGACATCTTATTTTTATATTCACATTTCAGATACAGTTAAAACAGTTTGTTACCTGTGTGCGTGTTGAGATGGTTTCTCAGCAGAGTCACTGTTCGAAAAGCTCTACCACAGAGATGACATTTATGCGGCCGTTCATCAGTGTGGCTTTTCATGTGACGATCTAGGTTAGAACGCCTTGGACAAGTATAACTGCACAACTCACACTGGAATGTCTTCTTTACGCCTGGAGATAGATAATTACACAACAATTTATTACATTTTCCCTCTAGATATTACAGCAATCTTCTGAGAAAGAGAAAACAGTTCCATCTATTAGTTTTTATTATGAACAACTTATTACATTTCCCGATCATACAATTTTGTTACCAAGAGGAGACCTGGTCAACACTATTTCACATGCCATTTGCAAGTGGACAAAATGACCCTCCCTCAAAGATCTTCACCGTCCATTCAGCAAAGCAAATGGCCTGCACTTTTCCATAATCCTCCAGATAACCAGGCCAGTACCACCAGATTATACATTTCTATTTATAGACCAATTAAAAAGGCCAGAGTGCAAATGACTTCATAAAGTCAAACAGATAAAAAAANGATTTAATGTCAACACATGCAGGAGGCTAGATGAATAAGGAAAAGAGGGTGCAGTTAAGTCAAGCAGACAGGAATCATCAGATTTATCAAAATGAGTGTCAGAAAAATCAAATAAAGCAAGAATTTTTTTCTTTTTTTACAAAGTTACTGAATAATGTGGCACATCACATCTTAATAATACATTTCATGTAAATGAAATTTGACTACATCTTACTTTTACTAACAACTAACCTGACCAAGTAATTACATTGTCACATTAATTTAAAACTCTTCTTTGGTGCCAAACTGTCGAAACCTTGCGTCATACAAAGAAAAATCACAATAACTAAAGATTTGGCCTCGATGTTCACTGCAAGTCAGAAACTTCTAGCACATTCCTATAAGACTGGGCTTCTTCAAACTGACCTTGTATAGATAAATGTCCAGAGAATCTGGACAAGTTTTTTCAACAACAATAGTCAGTGCTGCACCTAGCTTTAAAATAAAAAAAATGTATAACTTCATTACTTTATGGATTGTACATTAGATGTCCCTTCTCTGCCAAATTATTTAAGCAGACATAGCATTTTCATTTTGTGCAATGAACAAAACTTCCAGTAGGTGTCTCTGTTCCCAACAGCAATGAACATGTGGTTAGATATTACAACTGGGGTTTGCAGAATTAGGTCTGAATAGTTTTAACTGCACTACCAACCATTTTTTTCCTGTTTATTCTACTTCAAATCAGTCAACCGATTTATCATTCTAACATACACACGTAAATATTATACGAGAACAACAAAGTGGAACTTCTGAAAAAAATAATTATCATTAAATATAGATTTTGGCCAATTGTTAAGTATTTTTCCCAACCAAAAATAATCAACGAGAAACACCTCACAGGCACCCATTATGAGATCGAGGTCAAAAAATAATTTATTTTTGTGTCTCTCCGCCCCACAAAAACAGGTCAACTGACGATCAGGTCAGTGGAGAATCAAGTGTGGAAATTTATAGTTGTGACCTACTCCACACCCTCTAATCCTGTAAAATTTCACTCCCACAAAAAATGTCCTATTGCAATTGTAACAATTCATTTCTTCACATGATATTGAAATCATATTTTGAAAATGCTTAAACTTCTAAAAATGATCTATAAAAAATTCTATTTCTAACAGTTAAGAGAAACACGACTTGCTGCAGTCATTGAAAGATTCAGGACACTGCTGTTGAGTCACTTAATGTACAGTTTTCCTTGCATGTACAATTTTACTCAATGTTACTATGGTTTTTGCATTCTACTATTCTGAGAAGACCATGTCCTAATTAGATTTGAAAACTTTCTCAAGTAATAGATAGATGACCATATTTCCAGTTTTTAATAAGGTTATTGCAAAAACAGTGATTTGCCACATGGATGTGGCAACACTTGCAGCTGGGCCAGTTGGGAATCATTGTTGAAGCACTCCCTCAAGTAAAACTGAGTTGAACTACTTGTGTATTTCCTGGCAACTGATTCAACAGGTAAATCACAGTAGGGAGTAGGGTATTCGGCCATGGTCCATTGGGAAACTTGGTACAACTTAGAGAAAAAACAAAAAAGCTAACTTATAAAATGTCTGATGGGATTGAAGCAAAGATTACCATCTAAAAATTGAATCAGGCTCCGGCTCAACTTCGGTCCAATGTAATTTAGAAATCTATAGTGCCATGACTGGACCAATGTGGAACAATTTGCAATGACTTGTGCACGTTATTCAAAAACAGATTTCCCCCTTTCCTCAATAGCTAATGGATAGGTGCATTACATGTTGGCAACAGATCAACCTTTGCCTACAGATCAGCTACAAGCGCTGAGATGGTCATTCTCAACTAGAAGTAAGGATACCCATCTTTACACTAGTGTTCCCTTTCACCCCATCCTGCCCTGCCCTTGGTAGGAAATAGAAACAGCCAGGATGAGAGAAGACTGGATAAATAAAGAATGATCAGTTTGGACAAAGCGGAGGAACCTCCTCACATGAAACTGTCATGTGTCATGCAGCATAATTTATCACTGTTAGAGATGGAAGGGGGATGGAAGGGAAGGAAAAGATCATTTACTTCAGACAGTAAAATAGAATATATATTTCTCCTTTAATCACTAAAGCGACCCTAGTCGCAGTTTTAATACTTTCGACTTACTCATCTTTGAAACAAACTGGACTTGTGACTCTGTAAATTAATTTGGAACCCAACACAATACACTATACCTTTCTTTTTTATCTTCATTGGTTTTGGAGGTTTCATTGTACCAACGGCCTTCTCCACATTAACCTCTGAAAGCAATCCCTCCTGCTGCTCCTCCTCAAAGTCATAAACAGACAAATCAACATCTTTGGAGTCGTCCACCTTGTAACGCAGTTTGTTCTTCTTTTTTTTGACTTTTTTGACCGGTGGTTGGTAATCAGGATCCTTTTGCCAAGGACCAGAAGAAGCGTCATCATCCTGTACTTGTATTGCTCCATCTTCTACTGTCTCCACCTCACCATTGGCACCCACTTTCACAACCTGAAAGCCTTCTGGTAGGGGAAGGGTGTGACATATTACAGGCTCTACTTCCTGAAGTTCATCTTTAGGGGCTTCATTTTCATAGTTTCCCTGGAGTTCATCAATGCTGCTTTGGGCCACTTGCACCAGCTGTAATTCACCAAGATTTATTGGCTGCTCTTCCATGTTCACTACCTGCAGCGTAATAATCTGTGTGTCATCCACAGTTTCTGATTCATGAGTAGTGCCCTCAATTGGCTGCTTCATTTGGAGTAGTGTAGTGTCCAAAGGCTGCATCATTACCACTTGCATGTTGCTGTTCACATCTTGTACTACCTCACCACCCTCTGGCTCTTTCTGCTGTCCATCAGAATCTTCTTGTTGTCCACCTTCTCGACGTCTTTGATAGGTCTTGTGTTCTTTGACCTTCGTAAACATCTCCGACTCCTCCACAGTAACATTTTCTGACTCTGTCGCCATCACAACTGAAAATTAAATTTAAAAAAGTGACAATGCAGAATTTTGTTAACTCTATTAAGACCTTATAGGGTCCCATTTAAAGCTAATCTGGCAAAGGTACCATTGATTCATTTCATTGGTACTGCTTACAAATCTCTCTTATCTATTGCTGAAAACCTACTGAAGAAAAAGCACTTAACTGTTTGCCCACATTCTCATTTTCTGAGCCAATTCATAACCAAGGTGTCCACAACCATTTGATTGTTTAATAGGAAGGCGTGGCAGCATAATTAAAATTTCTTCTAAACAACAAAAACTCCGCAAAGCAGGTTATCTACCTACTCTCTCAGACCATAGATAATTCCATAACTTAATAGATCTCAGTAGGACAGGACATCTAGCAAACAAACTAGGGGTGGAGAGATGAGAAAGCGGAAACAGAGACAAGACAATGGAAACAATTCTCAATTACATTGTCATTTTAGTAAGGAATCAAACCCTGCTCCCCTACTACAAAAAAAGGAGGAAAAATGTTGTAAGTTGGCAATTTTTAAATAAACTGCCTGTACGTGCCAGTCCTGAAGTTGAGGCCAGAGGATTTCAATTCAGTAATAAATCTCTCATGATTTCTGCCTATGCTTTCAGCTAATTTCAAGATAGGAAACCTATAGTGCTGTAAATTTATCTCATCTTGTCTAAACTCTGCAGTAATCATTTACTTCCCCCTCATGCAAGAGTAAGTGGGTAGTTTTTGAACACCAATGTTTGAAGTTGTATTCATAATGTCACAGCTTTTACAGTTAAAAGTCCATTTTTCCTTCTAAATTGTAATATGTCTGGATGGTATAAAGGTTCACAAATCCAAAAGATGCAATGTGCACATGCAGCACACTTGTTATCCGGTAATTAAAAAAGGAGCAAGATATTACAACCAAATACAGGAGTACTTAAGATGACTATTTTTATCAGAAGGCCTAGATCTATGACCGACATGATCCAGTTTCTTAATTCTCCACAAGTATTTTAATGAAGGTATCATTTATCTTCAGTGCATACCAAAGCAGTTTTTGAACCAATATAACCTCAGTTTTATGAGCCCTTGGATTGTATTTTTTAAAAAGTAAGCCTTTTATCTGAACCTTTAAAATAACCCAGAATAGGTATATACTGAAGTTGATTTTTTTAAAAAGAAAATGGCACTTTGTATGATAATCAGTTTTCTTAATAATTACATTTTATTAGAGAAACTATTTGCTGTAATGATCTCAAGTCAGTGATCTTATAAAAGTGGAGTTTCTAAAAATGTAATCTTTTTCATAAACACTACTTATGAGGTATACATTTGTAAAATTATTCTGAATTGAGCAAAGGTGGCACTTTTACTGGTGCAATAAAGGTATTCAACAGTTCTCCACTCATACAACCTTGCTGACACTCCACAACTTTCACTGACATGAAATACATTTAGCAGTTCTCAGATGGGTACCTTTGATGCAAGTTAGTCTTATTTAGAATCATTATACTCTCCACTCAAGAATTTAAGATAGCAAAATTAAATAATTTATTGGGGATAATTTTTCACTTAGAGGCCAAATTTAGGGCTGTATGTTAGATCTTTTAAAAATATTGCAAAATGTATTATTTTGTTATTTTAAAAAAATCTGCCTTCATTAGGATAGGTTGTGGTCCTACCAAAACCCACTAAATAAAAGCATAATGTTTTTTGTACCATTCCTTAGCCCCAGTAATAATTTACCATTCCTTAATCCCAGTCTGTTTCATTTCCACTTCCCATATCAGTCACCTATAGTCTATTTTTCCAGTGTCACCACTTAATAAGTATGAATTGCAATTAATATTCCATAAGTATAGATATCATTCTGAATTAACTAGAAACACCCACAAGAAAATAAAAAAAAACACATGCATGATGACTTGTGACAACTTGCGTCTGTCCCGCAAGGTAACGTCTCAGAGCACTTAAAAGACTTAAGAACACACATTTGAGGTTCCAACACACTGTAATGGGTTAGCACTTCAATTCATACTCAGCCCACATAAGTGAGATGGGAATTTCTGTGCTGACTACAATGTCCTATGTAATGGGAATATGGATAGCTTCAACTACCAAGTATATGCATGCAAACTCACAAATTAAACTAGCATTAAATTAATAATCTCACTGGAAAAATGGACTATGGGTGACTGATGTGAGATGGAAAAATGAATTAGACTGGGATTATGGACTGGTCATTTGTTAATGGGGCTGAGGCACATTGATTAGGTAGACTAGGAACCTGGCATGGATTCAAGGAACCATCCCATTGAGATGTTCAGCTAAGCTCTCATATTTATCATGTCATCTCAGTTTTATTGATGACATCATAGTTTTTCATTCTCCCATTTTTAAAAAAAAATTAACGCTAGCAACCCAGCTATTATACTAGTATTTTCATGTATGTAGCAAATGTTTCACCACCTGCATTTTGCATTTCATTACCCTATTTTGCAGATACCCAAGGTTGTTCATTCTGGAAGACTAAAGGTTGAAAAGAACCATCTTGTTTGTGTCCATGATTTTTAATGGAATATTTTCAAAAAATAAATTTGTAGAATCAATTTGTAATTAACTGCAAAAATTACAATAATTTGTGCTAATTTAACAGTATTCACTTAAGAAGAATATCTCAAAATGACTTATAGTGGGATCTTAAGATAGGGGGCAGGTGACCAAAAGGGTAATCAATAAGACAAATCGTCTTTAGACAACAACAACAACAAAATTACATTTGTATAGTGCCTTTCACGTCGGGAGGACGTCCCAAGATGCTGGACAGACAGAGTTACGGACCCAAGCTGAGGGTCGGGGATGGGGGAGGGCAGGGGTTGGAAGCAGGAAGATTGAAAGGGAGGGTCTTGAGGTTGGTCATGAAGGTGGCGAGATGGAGAGAATGCGAGATGGAGTTCCAGAGGGTTGATGCAGAGTGGCTGAAGGTCCCCCCCCCACCCCCGCGCCGCTGGGACGAGCAAGGCGGTGGACATGAAGCAGGCCGGAGCCCGCTGGACAGAGGGAACGAACAGGGTCGTAGGGTGTTAGGAGGTCGGAGAGGTAGGGGGGAGCAAGACTACGGAGTGCTTTGAAGGTGAGGACCAGGATCTTGACCTGTATCCTCTGTGTGATGGGAAGCCAGTGGGCAAGGATGGGGGTGATAGGGTCACGGAGCCTAGTGCAGGAGAGGACCCAGGCTGCAGAGTTCTGGGTGATCTGCAGCTTGTGGAGGGAGGAGTTGGGGAGGCCGACAAGCAGTGAGTTTGCATAGTGAAGCCTTGATGTAATGAAGGCGTGTATGAGGGTTTCGGCAGCCTTCAGACAGAGTTTGAAAGACAGAGGGAGGGGAGATGGGCAAAGCAGAGGAATGCCTGGAGTGCTCTAAAGTGGCTGATTGCTCACCCACCTATGATGGGCTGAAGCATGCAGGGGGCAGGCATGAAACAAACCAGAATTGGTGTGTGTGTGTTTGGGGAGGGGGTTGGAGAAAGGCACAGCCTTTGAAGTCAAGGATGACGAACTTTAAGTCGATTCATTGGGGGATAAGAAATCAGTGTAACCTAACGAGGATAGGGGTAATACGCACATTGAATCTTGTGCAGGGAAGGACGGGGACTGCAGAGATCTGGATATTCTGGAGGGTGGGCCGGGAGACCAGAGAACCGGGTGGTGGGAAAGTCGAATCTGGGGGCAACAAAGTTGTGGGTGAGGGGTTCAGCTACGTTGGGGTTGTGATAGTGTTGGAGGTGGGAAACAAGCAGATATTAATTAAAGCAAATTTTGTCAGATCTGGATGAAAGGTTCAAAGGAGTTGGGGTGGGACAAAACACCAAGGTTCCAGATAAGGCTCCATGAGTTGGGAGTGAATAACCAGGAAGGTCGCTATAGTCAGCACTTAAACCTGAGCAGGATAGCCACAGTTGGTTGCGGTTGAGTTGAACAAAGTTAATGCTCGTCATGGGTATTGTACATTAAAAGTGACGGCTGTTATATAATGCAGTAGTTACTGCCTATGTCCATTTCTGTAAACATTCATATCAAAATGGGTGGAGTACCCACTTTCAATAACGCTTAAACACAATGTAGATGCTCTATTGACAGTACAACACAGTAGCATTTAAACTGGCTGTTTTTAAAGAAAAAAACTGCAGCACTGTTGCCAGTATAAGTTGTTTTCAAATAAACATACATATTATACTTAAAAGCAATTTGGCAACAAAGTTTTAGAAAACTTAACTTTTTTGCATTCAAGCCTACTTTAAAATATTAAAATTCGGTATTTTACTTTGCAATCGTTTTGATTTCGAAATCGTATTTAACTTCGGACCGATTTCTGTACTTTGACAGCTTCCTGAATGTTGCCATAATGCTAACATTTTTGCGCCAATTTAATTAGATACCATTTGGCACACCAGGACCCCATCAAATGTGCTTGAGCGAGCCTTAACACCGAAGAAAACACACCGAGGCCACACTGAAAACGAATTCCCTTTTTTTTTCGTGTTTTTTTTGATAGATACGATGTATTCGCAATCAAAATGAGACGACGTTGCAGTTTACCCCACACACACCCCCCCCCCACCAAAAAAAATATAAATCTTGTCATTTTTTTAAAAAAAGAAACAATTAAAACAAGTTCCTCAAAACACACAACTACTCTTTTTTTTTTCGCGTGTGTGCGTGTTTTAAAAAAAAAGGAACAGGGTTCCGATTCCGATGACATTACTTGTAGATTAAAGATCGCAAAGCTTCATTAAATTCTGCCCCGTTTGCCTAAAATGGCGACGAGATGGAGGGTGATAGCATATGTTTCAATTTTCCTGTCGAAGCTGCTCCTCCGCTCAGCCCCGATTAGAAATACCCGCCAGTATTCCCGTTTCCGATCAGCCCGGTTGTAGAGGGAGCTCTTTCCATTTCCAGCCATTGAGTGGGCCCCCCTTTATGTCGAAGGGAGACACACACACAGAGGGAAAAAAAAACACGCACACGCACACAGGCTGGTGGCGGAATCGAGGAATAGGCGCTAGTCGAGCGGGGGAGAAGCGGGCGGGCGGGCGGGCGGGCGCCTCCGTCCAGAGCGGACCTCCAGACAAAAGAAAAGGCCTCGCCTTCGCCGCACACCGAACTGCCCGGTAAAAAAAAAATACCCGAACCCCGCTAACTGTCCCGTGGGCGCCGGCTGGGAATTTTAGCGGCCTCGTTTTGGGGATTTCGAGTCTCTTTAGCCGCGGGATTACAAGTTTTTCCGAGTATTTTTCTGTCTGAATAAAACGATAGAGGGAGACAAACACACCCAGCGCCGAAAAGCCCCATCGTGACACCTAGAGGCGGCACAAAGGACCTGCATTCGGCCCCTCTGACCGCTTCCACTTACATTTTTACCGTCTTTTCTTACAGTAAAAGTCCCTTTCGGTGTCTCTCGACGTCTGAATCCGGTCCCTGGCTGCCCGAAACGCGCAGAAAGCGCGGCGCGAATCGGTTAAAACGTTCCCATTAAAGCAGGGAGTAGAAAATGGCGGAGCCCCGTGTCTCTGCGCATGCCTGGCGGCTCCACAACTGTGGAGAAGGTCGCGGGGCAGTGTGGGTAGGTGGTGGCTGGGTGGGGGGTGGGGGGCGGAAAAAAGGCGCGAAGGTTTCAAAGTTAAACCGTTAATAGGGCTCGCGCCAACCGCTCAGTGCGTGACGTCTGCGAGCGGCAGAATGGCGCCTCCGTCAGCGCCCGCAGTCCCCTGACACACCAAATCGGTTTATACGGTGCACACACACACACACACAGAGCTCCAGTCAGTCAGTCACTTGTCTGGTGAGGGTTACGTTCGTGCTGAGCTGTCAAATCTCCCTCATGGAGAGTGGCAGTCCGTCCTCCCTTCTTCCCCGGGTTTAATTTTAAAGATGTCTTCCCCGCCCCACTGCACCCCACACACACACACACACACTCCCTTCACTCAATGGCGGTGAAGCACACTCCCGTGTTTTGGGTCCTGTTCTCCTCTGACCTTATTCAGGAGGCACTGCGTTATTTTCAAGTAAGAATGCAACAAACCCCCCCCCCCCACCCCCCTCTCTCTCTCTCTTCCCTGACCGTTTCCCAGACGGACAGCTCTGCTGGCACTGGCTGGGCACAGAATAGTGACCTCATTGAACAGTATGTAAAGTGGCTTATTATAATATACCGCAGTTTCAACTTAATGCGAAATGTGTTAACCGATTCGGATTATTTACAGCCTATATACTATGTGTGTGTGTGTGTATATATATATATAGAGAGAGAGAGACTAATATCGACATTACACAATGCACTCCCTGTAGGAAGGCTGCTTCCAAGTGCTTTACACATGGAGTTGGAAGGCTGAGGTGAGGTTGGAGTTCTTTGCAATGTGTTCTGAAAACAGGGTGGGGCAAAGTGGCTGAAAGCATGCTCGCTGATTGGGGAGGGGTAAAGAAGACCACAACAACTTGCACTTATATAGCCCCCACCCTCCACCGCGGGGTAGCGTCTCAGAGTGCTTAACGGTGGCGGATCCCGACTCCGAGCCAAGTGGGGGGGGTTGGGAGGTGGCCGTAAGCACGGTTGAAGAGGACCGCGGGTTTTTCTTCGCGCGCGCATACTGACAACTGCTGCGAGATGAAATCCTGGAGGGCTGTTAGCAATCGTGAAACTCTGCTAAAATGATTGTTTGCCTTTTGGAGAGAATGGGTGACATGATGAGATCTGAAAAACAGATGGATGAAATCACTTGCCCACAACGTTAACAGTAAATCCTGTGAAGCGCTTCAAGGGATCCTCCCAACATGAGTGCTATGCAAGGATAATAAATCTTAAAGTGAAATTATCAGTTTATTTGAATAAAATGAAAGCAAAGTCAAAAGATAAGTTATAGAAAAGTGCATTGCCCAGAACAATTCTAAATTGTGGACTATTTTGCAACTGAATGATTTAGCTAGTTTTTTTTAATAAGTGATGGAACCAGAAACGGTTGAGGATCCTGACAAAGACCTTGCAAAGTTGTTTTAAGTGGTGTTTGGTGAGGGAGAATGCCCAGGTGACATTTTTGGGCCTGTGATAATCCGCACCATGACATTTTGTGCTGCAAAAATACATTTTGCTACAAAAATGTGTATAAAGAATTTTCAATAAAGATATGTCTAGTTTGGTATTGCATTGAAGTGTTTCATAAATATTTATTCAGTTAATTTTAATTACAAAATATCACATTAAACCAATCAGCTTTGTACAAAAGAGTAAACAATGAAACTAAATGAAACTAAAAATGGTAAAAGCAGACACAGGCTGTCTGGGACAGGTTTGTTGTACCTTACTGCCATATCTCTCACCCGCTGATTTCATAGTATTGTGTATTGGACAAACTAATTTGACCTGAAATTTTTCAATTACCTCTAATACAGTTCTTCAATCTCAGTTCAAAACAATAGTCTTTAGAAAATATTTAACCATCTCTTCTTGTACTAACCGGATGTAATTCCGAACTTCAGTGAGTGCCAGTAGTCTATTCAACCATAGCATGGCAGCTAACGTGAATCCAATCCTGCATGAGTCAATGAGTAGTGATCCATACGAGAAATCCCATTTTTTAAATGCCGCAGTCCAGGGCCACTGAAGACTATTTTAGTTGTATTTGTATTCCTCCCCTCCCCCCAGCTACTGTCTTAGCTGAGTGCAACTAACGGAAGATGAATTCAAGCCACAGGCTTTCTATATGGTTTAAGCTAAGGCCTTTGCCTGTGAGGCCAACAGGGGCACTCTAGATTGTACAGAAATTGATTGAAAAGATGGGCCTTTTAACTTTCTTGCCCTTCCTTTTGGGAAGAATCATGTTTCAGCAGTTAGCCTCTGTCCTGATCATGATTCAGGCCTTAGTTTATTGATTGAGGAGCATGGATCCAAATTTGCCTTTAATTTGCTCACATTGCAGGTGTGGGTACAAAACCATGTTTTCAACTAGTCTAGTTTTTAAAAAAAACTCAACTGTTTCAACTAGTCCAGAATACTAAAACCAGAGGACACGGCCTGCGATTGAAGTGGGGTAAAGTCAGAACGAATCTACGGAAACACTTTCAGTGGGCGAATAGTAAACCTTTGAACAGGAGAGACGGTTGAAGCAGGAGATGTTGATTCCTTCAAACACAGATTAGATCATTTTCTTTTAGGAAATGACATTATGGAATATAGTACATAGGTAGTTCAGGACATATGTGTATGCGACTGCCAAGAAGGTGGAAGGCAAACTTGATGGACCTTGGTCTTTTTTTCATCTAGCATTTATGTTCTTATGTTCTCCCCCAGAATGAAAATCATTGGGGATATTTTTGTACAATAGATGTATCTAAATGTTTATACGGTATTTCTCTACTCCTTATAAATAATGAACTTAAAATAAATAACTTGACTTTCACTCTTCAAAATAGTCAAGTTATTTTGGCAGTCAATACACAGTGTACTTTAAACATTTGTCAGGAAGTTTTTTTAAACATTGGCAGAAAGAAAAGTAAGCTTTTATAAATATTTGGAAGGTTCTTTATGGTCACTTCAGTATTCAACTCCGAGAAGGTCTGTATTTCACCAAAGTTTTTTTTTCCTATCAGTTACAATAGAATAACATCTGCTCAGGAAATCACTGCTTAGCGAGAAAACAACGCTTTTTTTTGTATATGCTGTTTTCCAGCATATGTCATAGTGCTATGCTCTGCCCTATATTATAAGTGAAAAAAAATTGTTCAACATACTGTATCAGGTTTGTTTCTGGTAGCATTGGAATCAGTATGTGGACAATTCCCAGGGCGGTGTGGGGGAGAAAGCATCAGGCTTCTCATACACCTTTCAGCAGCTGGATTTAGAACAGTATTTCACGCAGGCTTTGTTATTGCTCATGTATATGACCCAGGATACAAAAAACCAAACTCCATCTTCACTACTAAGAAAAAATTCCAACCCAGAATGCAGCCTGTGGACCATTTGTTGTCCAGGTCTCCTTCAGCTGGGGCCTGTGCAATTTCATTTTGTCTGCTGTCAAGTGAAAGAAATAAGAAGTGCTGATAAGAGAAATGCTTAACCCTGTATCTCCAGGGTAAGTAAAACTGCTCTATAGAATTATAGACCTGCAGCTTCACTATTGGTGGTGTAGATTTTCCCCTTCCCATACTGAAGTGCTGGGCATCTGCTTTGCAACAGCCCACGATGGGCTGATTGTAATTTGAAAATGGCAATCTTGAGTGCCAACGTTCAGCCCAATATTTGGTGCTATTGAAAGTTTTGGTTGTAAAATCTCATTTCTGGAAATAATAATGCCTGCATTTGATTAGAGCGCCTTATCACATGTTGAGATATCTCGAGAAGCTTACCAAGATATATATTGTAAAGTGGATTGACAGTGTATTTTGTGACTATTTAAAAGTACAGTATTTAAAAAGTCTTAATTTGAACACATTACAAACAAATCTACACTATTTACTTTTTAAAAGTTCTTGCCAGGCAGCAGGATACCAGTGGGGTGTGCTGTGGAGTTATTAGGATCCAGATTGCAGGCTGAGAGTCCAGCTTTCTGATGGAAAGATATTTTACTTGGTGTAAATATTATTTAAAATATAATTTAACTAAATCTTTGATAAAACAATTGCGAGGCGTCTAAACCTGATGACTAACAGAAAACATTTAAAGACGATTGTGGAATCAAGCTTTTTTTTTAGGAATATATGTATACTTTTTAATGATGCAATCATAAATGGGACCTTTTACATTTGTTCTGTGAACACGCTCAAGATGATAATGCCGTGGGCGAGTGATGCATCGTCGGAAGTGCTATCCTTCAGGTGAGATTCCAAATGAGGTCTCATCTGCCTGTGATCTCAGCTTGTCATTAAAAATACCATGACGCTATTCAAAAAGAGAAAGGAGTTTATCCCAGTGCTCTGGTCAACAATCAACCAGATACATTTAATTTGCCTCAAGGCTATTTGTCGGACCATGCTGTGTTTGCCAAAGCAAAATGCTTAATGCATTTGATAATGATTACTTGTGAAACATTTTTAAATGGTTTTCTTTTTATGCAGTCCTGAAACACCTGTAAAGAACTTTGGATCTGTTTACTATTAATCTCTTTACAAAGATATAGAAAAGAAAGTTAAGTCTGGAGGTAAAATGTAGTTACATATTGCAGCATTGTCAGCAGCTTGTTCTTTTAGTTGTCTATATTGTGGCAGTTCAGCCTCTACTATTACATGATGTTCTCTAATTTCTGGGGACGTCAGCCTATCTGATACTAATCCTGCCACTGCTATTGCAGTGCTTTAGTGGTTGGTCACAATTCCAGGAATATCAGATTAGTTAGTTTCCAGCATTTTCACATAAATAGATTCAATGGAATTGTTTTAAACTTCCTTAAAACAAAGTAAATCAAAGTCTGTGCCTTTTCCCTTCTTTTGTGTAAAACAAAAATAAGGCACTGTCTTAAGACAAGTTACACTCCAAATCCTTAAATGCATCACCTTTCATTAGGAATGGTAGAGAATTTTGGATAGATATAAATTTGTCCAGATTCTTGAAGACCATTCTAGCCTCTCCCAGAAGAAAATTATATTCATGTCAAATATAATCCAGTATTTATATACAGCTTTGGAAAATGCTTCTCTGCATTTTCAGATCACAGAAAAACAAAATACTGTACCATATTAAAGTATTGTGGAACAAACTAGAAGTAGTATCAGCTGTGGGGAGACTTGGATCCAAGACGATGGCTGCTAAGTTATTGATCAGCTTTTGCATCAATAGTGTGAATTATCAGTAACTTGTTATTCAATAGTTTGACTGGTACCGAGATAGCTGGGGTTAATAACAAATCATCTCCAAATGGTGCAGTTGTAGTACAATGTCAGCACATACTGTACACTTCATAAAGCTCGAGGGCAGTCTCCCCGCTTCCTTTAATGAAAAGACTGAAATTATCAGTCAAACACCCAGGCAACACTTAATGAGTTTGTTTTCATAGATGCAGTAAATATATAACATTTATTTTGGACGATTTTGCTGCTGTAGGTAATACACTACATTCTGGCAATCAGATTAATATAACTTTACCTGTGATAGGCTCACATGTAAAATTTTCTCATTTAAAGTTTTTTAGTTTCTTTCCCACAGATTACATCATTTAAGGACTGAATAGGTGACCTACTCCTACAGATCTACCTCTGCACTCTTACCACATGGGGAAGGGACATTTCAACATTCGTCTCCCTGCAGAGAAGGGCCTAATATCAGAGCCGGACACTATTCAGTTGCCTAACAGTAAATATTTACATTTATAATGGAAACTCACCTTAAGGTCACCCCACAAATATGGGCTCTGTTCCAAGTTTTTTATGTGGACATTTCTATTATAATCACAGTTGAAACTCAATTCAGTCAGCCACCATGCATGGTGCGGTAAATTTGCCAGAGCAGCAACCGCAGTCATCATTGATTTTTATTGTGATCGAAATGGAAATTCCCATCGGATGAAGTATTCTAGAGCTGTGTAATGGCAAATTCCATTGGATGAAATATTGGGAGAACTGCCAATGCCACAAAAATCATATGCCAGCATGAGTTGCCTCCTTCAGGAACATGAGGGAAAGGGAATGACCCAATTCTGTTTTGAAACTGCTGATATATTGTTCTTGGCTTGGATTTTGCAATTTATGGTGCAGGTTCAACAATTTTATCTGAAATCATGCCTCCAAAGTCTAAAACTGCAGCCACTAACTGAAATGAGCTCAGTCTGATACAAAAGGTGGATTTAATTAACAGTGAAGGAAATCCCATCACACATTAGATGAACCTTACAGATCTGGCACGAAGCATTTTGCCAACATTCTGAAGAGGAAGACTGAATATATTGGGAGTCTTTGAAGAAAATGAGGTCTCTGTAATGCCACGGTAGAGAGGCTATGTGGATGGCACATTGTAGTTTAAGTGCTTTTGTACGGGACAGACAGGATAGCAATGAACATAATGTTCACATAGTAAAGTGTTTTGAAACATTCTACATGAAAGGTTCTATGTACACTAAGTGCAAATTTAGTTTCTTAAGTGCCAATTCATTTGCCAACTCACATTGGTGAGTTTCCATTTTTTAAATAAATGAAAGAAAATGTCCAAGTTAAAATATGTGCTTTGAATGTGGATTTCCCCAGCTGCACAGAGGTGATGGCACAACATTGGCGTAGTGCTAAACCCTTTCAAAGCAGGGAGATTCTCTTGTTCGATTCTTAATCTGTGCTGTCTGGCTGATTTTAGATGCCCCAATGGTGGGTGATAAAATTGTCCTGACCTACAAAGGCAGTTAATCTGATTGCTCACTAGTTAAAATTATTAAAAGTGCATATAAACGGATTCTAGATAAGGGTAGAATTGGTCCAACTTCCAAAACATACATACTGAAAAGTAAAAGCCCTACCCATGCAACTTCTATTCCTCTTATGGCTGGTAGGTATCCTGAACCTGATGTCTGGAGTGTTCAATCCCGGTTCTGGTCATGTCTCAACATGGGTTTGATTCCAAATCCCCCACCCAAAACAAAGCTTTCCAACAGTGTGAGATCCTACAGCAATAAGGTCAAGTAAGGAGAAACATACCCTTGACATGTTCTGGGTTTCAAGTTGAAAAGTGATTACCTGCAATAGTAATTGTACTTTGAAGGTTATCAAGTTATTGTTTTAAGTTTTGCACCAAAGACCTGAATGTATAAAACACAGCCCATCAGTCATCTTTTTATAACCCAATTTTCAGACTCCCCAGATGGTGTAATATTAATATTGAGATGAAACCCTCAGTATTACTTTATCTTAACCTATCATTTCAGGGAGAATTATTTCTAGCTAATGTAGTGTTCCTTAGAGTTTGTAACTAGTGCTGACTAAGCAGACAGCTTGCACAAGGTTCAGGCATGATGCAAATAGAATGCCTGTGGATTTCTGGAGACTATTTAGCAAGAGCATAATTAATAGCAGACGAGGTGAGGCATTGTATGATTATAATTTTAATTGTCAACTCCTATTTTAATACCATTTCGAGGGAGGTGACAAGCAAATGCATTCCAGATGGAGGACAAAATGGGTTGAATATCAAAACTAAGCTAAAGGCCAAACAAACATTTGAAAGCAAACTAGTGAGGTTTGGTAACCAAAGTTAATTATGGTAACCGTTAATCAAGAGATTTATAGGGAAGTAAGATCAACAGAAAAGCACATAGCAGACAACAAGGATCTAGAACAATATATAACATAGTGGGTCCAAAAGCAGAGGCTTGCAATGAACTTTTAATGGTGGTGGTTACTGATGGGAAGCAATGCCAGGAATCAGCAATAATTACAGCTGACTGTATCATGCAGTCTACTATTTGGCACCTCAGTAGGTTTTTTGATTGGTTTATTTTCCTGTGCTCCCTTATCCTTTTTACTGCTGGATGTGAATGAGTAGCTTAGGTAACTCGAATCTTACACAAGGGTTTGGTGCAAACCAGTGACGATTGAGAATTCCCAGTTGAGCTTCCTAATTCTAAACTTAATTGCAATTGCATTTTCTTGGTAGTCTGAATTCTTGTTACCAACCAAAGGTACAGTAATCAAGGCTGTATTGGATGTGAACTATACTGTGCTTTCTATCCTAACTCATATACAAGAGAGGGCAAACAATTTTCTTATACTAAATTAAAAAAATTAATATGCGTTGTAGTCGTCTTTGCTTTCTTGTTGTGCAACATATTAAAAAAGAGTGAGAAGACAGCAAACAGCTGTTCAGTCTATGGAAGATTATATGTAGATAAAATGATGCATATTTTTAGCACTAGGAACTAGATCTAGAAGAAGCACCAGTGTATGAAATGAATCTCATAAAGACTCCATCTTAAGACTAATGCACCAACAACATGTACTGATAAACATGCTTTGCAAGTTTGCTCATTTAAGTTTAGAAAACTAAATTTTCTCTTAATTAAATGCTCCCTTGTTTCATTTCTCTGCCTTACTGCATTTTCTAACATCATGTTTAAAAAAAATACTTTTAACAGCCATATAAAATTAAATGCAAAGGCAAAACCATTTGTGGATTTAAAATAATCCAGCTGTCAAAATTTAAGAATTTCTTTTGGACAAGTTTCCTTTTAAATGCTTTCAAATGTTGGTATTTCTGCTCTTAAACTCCAAATATAAACCCCACAATTTCATCCTTTTCGCTATGTTGAAATTGAACTTACTGGACTGGACCTTTTTCCTCCAGTAGGATCTCAAGCTCATAGAACTTCTTGCTTCTCTCAATCTTTCCTTCCATTTATGTTCCACATGCCTTTAAAACCATAACCTGGTGCAGTGCAACCACAACTTGATTTCTCCCCTAACACTTCAATCTTGTTCATGGCCTGTTCTATGTTGCTTGGGGGATTAATTTGGATTTCTCAATTTTAAAATTGTTCAAAAATTGACAATATCACTGTAAATGTACACACAATGCATGACACACAAATTGGACATTTACAAAATAAAATAACCCCAAAACCATTTGCTTTACATTTATTAAGTATAACGTTGCATTTAATGATTTTTTTTATAATCACAATTCACTTTTACTTACACAATACATTTATATAGAAAAAAAATCAAAGTATATATTTTTTTGAAATTTTACTGCACCATCTGGAGAATAGTGTAACAGGATAACTCAAAAGCTGCTGCAGTGTCTTCTTAACGCAACAGTCAACATTAAATTAAAAAAAAATGGAAATTATTATACAGGTAATACTTGTTCGCTCTCTACCTCCACACCAGGCACTTGGACGGGAAGCAGCAATCTAGGTTTCTTTCCTGCCAGAGAGCAGCGAGACTTGCAGTTGAAAGGTAAATGATTCACCTGTGGCTTTTGGAGACATCTGTCCACCACGTTTATCCCTCCAAGGTTAACCACTCCTGGATTATTCACACATTTAATCATTCAAAGTGCATTTCCACTGACTCTCCTGATTTGGTCATAGTTTGTTTTTCAAAATGTGTGCATCCACGGATAAAACACTGGCATAACTTGTGCCAATATTCACCCAAAATCAAAGTGGCTCTATTCCAACTCAAAGCTTTCTTTGAAGTTACACTCTAGTAAGGCAGTCCTGACCTTCCTCTCTACTCCACCCCAGTCTCGAATCTCTTAAATCTCTCTTAAAACTCACATTGCCACAAACAAAAGGTATGAACACTGCTACATCTGAAATGTTTCAAGGTCAACTCAAAGGCAGTTTGACCTCCAGTTTACTTGATATCTTGGCAACGGAGGCTGCCTTGTTTCAGAAACGTTCTCCTGGAAGTTGACAGCCAATTTTCTTCTCAGTTTGAAGCAGTTCCCTGCTTAGAAAGCTGTACTAGTCATACTGACTGGTCCCAGAAGCCTCTGCATATTGTCCAATGATTCTTCCATCTGCTTGCAGGCAATTTTACCCTCCTCACCTGTTAGTGCAACCAGAAATGATCAGGGTAAAAACAGATTTCTACATATTGAATTTATAACACACAACAATTCAGCAATGCAGGATATCGGTTGGTTAATACCCTTGGCTGTAGACACATCAAAGGCTCACACGAAGCATGAACTGATGCTTCCTTTCAATGAAGAAAGACGAGGTCTTGGGTAAAATTTTAGCATTTTAATTTCAAGGCTGATGAAACTATTGAGTGGTTGTTTAGTGAGCATCTTATTCAACTGCCACAATTCAGTGAGTCTAACACCAATACAGTGCAATAGCCCTCCACGTGGAGAAAAGCAAAGGACTAGTTTAGGAAATTAAGATCACATAAATCTATCAAATGATTAAAAACACCACATTCTAGTTCCACAAAGCAGCTCATTAGTGAGTGAATAGAAGGGCCTTTCCAATGCCATTTTTTTAAAAAGTCAGGAACACAGTTGAAGGCCAAGGCACAAAATGCCCAGCACTGACCAGATCCAAAGAATGCACATAATAATAATAATAATAATCCTTGCATTTGATATAGCGCTTTTCACGTCGGGAGGACGTCCCAAAGTGCTTCACAGAACACACTGTAAAGTGAATTGACTGTATATTTGTGGGCGAACGCGGCAGCCAATTGCGCACAGCAATGTCCCAGAAACAGTCGTAGATTGAAAATGACCAATTTATTATTGTTTTTGGTTTTGGAGGGATTATTATTAGGCTCTGTGTGGAGTAAGGAAACTTGCCCAAGGTTTCGCCCTCTGCCTGGAATTGAACTCAGGTCTCTCGCTTGCAAAGCGAGTGCTCTAACCACTGAGCTACAGGACGTAGTTTACAAGCCAGATTATATAGCAATGGTTAGGTGATACTATGCTTGTTTTTTTTTAAAAAAAACAGCCTGCAGACCTAAGAATCTGGGCACAATAAGGTATTCTTTGCAATTGGATTTTCCACCAATACCAGGATTTAAGTCAGTGTAGCAGCCAAGATGACCTCACGATCCTCTAATCTAGCAGTAGTTAGAGATTACGGTAACATTGCTCGAGCATTAAGTTTAAGCAAGTCAATTGCCACCTCTGCACCAGTGAACAAATAACTTTGAAGTTGGGGCAATTCGAGATGGAGATATTATTTCAAAACCTATAGGGTCTGAATACTCGCTTGGTTAAATTGGTCCTCTCAAGCATCATGTCAGCGAGTGGTTTTGAAGGTCACTGTGGCAGATTTAGCTTTCCATCTGTGGTATCAGGTGGTTGGGAATTCAGTATGATGAATTGAAACTGAAAGCTAGGTCTGAGAATTGTCAACTGTTCCAGAGGTACCATATTTCATGTGGTTTCCTTGGTTCAAATCCTGTGAATGATTCTCGAACCGAGACAGAATGGTGCGAAAGCATCGATTGAACCTTTTATTCCAGTGGAATTGACGAGAGTCAAAGTGGTGAAAATTTTCCAGCTTGTGAATTTAAGACACCATACCCCTATTCCCTTATTATTGATGGAAAATCCTTGCACGACAAGTGCAGTCGATAAGGAAAAATGTAAAGTATTAGTAAAGGTGGATAATGTTAATTCTTTTCCCATTCCCCTGATCTACAGCAACAGTACAATGCACAACAACAGAATAATGGCTAAATGCTTTGAAGTGCGACTGTCAAAGTGCATGTCATCGGGGTTATGAATACATTACACTGCAAATGGAAATTTAAAAAATCAAGCGCAAACATAGTTCCAGTCTTGGGACTTGGTTAGACTGTGCAACATTTCAACACAGGCCTCTAAATTGGAATCAACAGGCACAGTGCATACCAATCCAGGTTCCTGGCTTCAGCCACTCTTTCAGCTGCTGATTATGTACAATAGTCCTTCTAATCAGAGGGTGTTCTCCTAAGTAATGTTCCATGTAACAGTTAGCACGGTCGGTACTGGGTGTACCTTTACTGAAACAAGTTGGGTACAATGACCGGGATCTCATGAGCTCTGGAGTGGGTGTGTAACCACTTCCCCTGCTTGGGCTGTCAATAAGAAAAAACACAAGTTCTTTCCATTTAATTGATAAAGCACCACTAAAAAAAAGTGTAGGCACGATGAACTGCAAACGTTTGTGTCAGTAACTATTCCTGTGACGTATAATCGAGCAGCATCTGATCTGTACAGAGAACACAGGTCTCCTCTGATAACCCACGATGAGCCAACAGGCCATGGAAGACCGTTGTGTTTGACATTCGCACGGGATTTCCACCTCTTCACGCAGTACAATACTCATACTCACCAAAGGACAGAAGGGCCTGTTTAGCAACGTCTCGCACCTCTTTGTCAGTCTGGCAAATGTAAACCAGCTGATCGATGCTTTCTTTGGCCTGAGCAAGAGAAAACGTTCGAGGTGAAAGGAAAAATAAAACCTGAAAAGTTTCTCTCCTTGATTTCAATTACTCTTAATATTAAATAAAGACAACTTTATCATTATGCTCCTTCCCTTCCTCGCACCACCACTCCAAGACCCTTAAATTACACACCCTTTCCCTCTTCACTCCTGCCTCTCTGCATCCTGCGGTGAGGAAAAGAATGTGTACCCGAGTCTCTATCTATAACACTAGCCATTTGCTAAATAATATTAATCTGTGCATTTGACATAGCACCTTATCATGTCATCAAGACGTTTCAAAGTGCTTCAAAGGATTTTACTGTGAAATGCAGCGACTCTATTTGTAAGCAGACGTGGCAGCCAATTTGCACACAGCAATGTTCCACGAACAGCACAAACTAAATGATGCACATGGTGACCTGGAGTAACCAACCGGCTCTAACCTTCCTGTGATATTTTGTCGTGCGTGTGCCGAGCGGGCACTCTCAAGTTGGTACCACTGCACAATGCAGTCTGGTGATTCAACACTGCACTGCATTTTATAATCCCCCAAAAATTGCACAGCAACTAATGTGCAGCAGAGTAGGAAAAAAACTTCGTGCAAATAAGTATAAATGAATATGCATGCAACAACAAAATTACATTTGTATAGCGCCTTTCACGTCGGGAGGATGTCCCAAGGTGTCTGCACCTGATTCAAGTAAATAAAACAACATAAACCCTATTCAATGATTGTGCCTGAGAGCTAAGCAGATTATAAAACCATTTCATCAGCGGTAAATAATTACAGCAGAGAGGACTCTGCTTTTAAACAGAAAATCTCAAAAATATCCAAGTCAATGAAAGTCAGGCCAGCAGCAAGTAGATTTACTACAGTTACATGTGTTACTGTACAATGACACTATCCAACTTGAGTACAAGGCAACAATTTAGAGACATTTACAGCCATTCGATACAGCGTTATGGGCTTAGGTTTTGGGATATTTCCTCATTATTCAGGGTGTATATACTGGATTAAGATACCGTACCTTTAGGCATCCCAGTGCAGTGCATCCTGATCGTCGGAGCTGTACATTCTCATCTTCAAGCAGTTCCAGATAATAAACCAGAGCCTGAACAGAAATAAACATCAATCAATCAATCAATCAATCAATCAACCTGCATCTTGAACAAACACTGAAATATCTATGCACTTAACGCTGCTTAATGTAACTGAAAGGATTTTCTTTGCAAGTTCCAAATGCAATGACCAGTGATTCAAAGGGGCAAACAGATCCTGATCCGGGCAAATCATGTAACAAAAAGGAGGAAAGACCACACCAGGTGTGCTATTCCACCGGCAGTTGTCAAACATTTACAATGTCGCTGTAAAGGAAATCAATGCCGTCAGGTCTTGGTTCACTTTAAATTAAAAGAAGGGGGAGATGGAGGAAAAGTTTTGGCCACCACACCCAGAGTGCGCTTGTGATTTTCTAATGCTATCCCGAAATTACAAAACTACCTTCAATGATGGATTTCACGGCAGATAATGGAGTCCAATGTGCGACACCTTAAAATTGGGTTTCTCCCATTGATTCGCAAAAGCCCACTCCTGAAGTAGACGAGTATGACTTTTTTCCCCCCAGTTACTGGGTGGAGAAACCCCATTTGTGCAACTCTGATTCTGTACGGAGGAATCTAGGTAATAAAGGCTCCGAATTAACCCTCAGTTACAAGGTTTACAAGAATTTTTTGGTGCCTGTTTCTCCCCCGACTGCAGAAGACTGTTCCTGAAATTCTTCCCGAGACGGAGAGGTTTAAGTGGAAGAAAAGCACAAGCTTTGTACCTTCTCTCGGAACTTGGGGTTTTCCGTCGTCAACGCTTTGAGTACAGTGGTTGCTGTGCTGCAGATCTTCCCGTGCTCCTCCAACAGGAGCAGACCCACAGCTTTCAGTCCCTCTCCCTGCAGCTGCGTTGCCGACAGATGTTTCAAGGTCTTCAACACAACGTCCTTATCAGAGGACTGCAAGGTTTGGACCAGTAACACTGCAACCAGAAACGTGAAGTCACAAAATATTCCATGGACATTCATTTACTCCCATCTTGTGGAGTCCTACAGCTCGGTGGTTAGAGCACTCGCCTCGCAAGTGAGAGACATGCGTTTGATCCCCGGCAGGGCGAAAAGCTTTCTTACTCCACACACATGCCACTGTTTACCTAGCAGGAAGTAAGAACCCGGTTGTTAAATCGATTGACAGATCGCTTTTCCCGGGGTAATAATCCCTTAAAAAAATATAATAAATTGGTCACTCAATCCACGACTGTTCGTGGGACACTGCTGTGCACAATTGGCTGTCGGGGTTTGCCTACAAAATACAGTCAATTCACTTTACAATATATCCTGTGAAATGCATTGAGTCGTTTCAAAGAAGTGATAAGGCACTATATCAAATGCAAGTATTATTATTTTCCTGGTACTATGGATGGCACGGTGCCCACCGTTGGCTTCAGAAGACCCGAAATTCCTCGTGATCTCAGCTTTCAGAACATTGTCTTAAAAATTTAAGATCATGCAGAAATTAAAAAGAAATGCAGAAACAAATGACCAATGCTAAGAATGAGGCCACGAATTTTCTGAAATTTTGTCAGTTCTGAGTTTATTTTAAGACAATGTTCCACCGGTGGAAGCCATTAGCACGTTCAGACGTCTGATAAGTTTCAGCTGAATTTTTATATGGACCTGAATTGATCTTCAACTATCTCACAAATAACATGTCCAACGCAACCTGAAAATGCGCGACTGAACAGTAAAACCAGACCGATTTAATTATAAAACATTTACAACAACAAGATTCCATTTATAGAGTGCCTTTCACGTCAGGAGGACGTCCCAAGGCGCTGGACAGTTGGGTCAGGACCCGAGCATTGGGGGGAAATGGTCAGGATGAGGGAAGGGAGGGAGGGAGCGAGGAGGGAGGGAAATGGTGAGGGGAGGGAAGGGACGGAGCGAGGAGGGGGTAGAGTCGAGAGGGGAGCTGAACGCACGGTCAAAGAGAAAGGTCTTGAGACCGGCCTTGAAGGAGGAGAGGGAGGAAGCAAGGAGAAGGCACTGGGGGGTGGAATTCCAGAGCCTAGGGGCTGAGAGGCTGAAGGTCCGCCCACCGATGGTAGGGCGGTTGGGGCGGGGGATGTGGAGCAGACCGGAGCCAGAGGAACGGAGGGTACGGGCAGGTAGGTAGGGGGATAGTAGGTCAGAGAGGTAGGAGGGAGCAAGGCCGTGAATGGCCTTGTAGGCGAGGATGAGGATCTTGAATTTAAAGCGCTTTGAGATGTCTTCCCAACGTGACAGGTGTGATATAAATGTAAATTGGATTGGATTGCCAGATGCAATCAGTGCAACAAATAAAATCTGATCCAACCCTTGATTTGCTGCACATTAACTCAGGCACTTAATTCAGACTCACAATTCTTTTTTTTCTAAAAATCCAAGATCGACACGATATTTCAAGGAAAGAAAATGTTCCAGGGAAGAGAAGTCAGTCAGGAGGTGCACAACAATCACTTTATATTCTGGCTCAGTTGTAATAATAATAATCCTTGCATTTCATATAGCGGCTTATCACTACTCCAAGACGTCTCAAAGCACGTCACAGAATATACTGTAAAAGTTAATTGACTGTATATTCCGTGAGTGAAACGTAATAAACCCACCTCAAGCAAAACAGGCCACACTGGAGTGGTTGGCTTTTATAATTAAAAGGTAAATCAATCATTCAGGGAAACAATGGTCTGAATACTCCCACAACAGGATCCTCTATCACAATGCCTGAAGGGTTTGGCAGAGGTACTGAATTACACAACACTTTGAGAAACCTTTTGACTTTTTTTTCTTTTGGCTGTTTTGTGGATTGCCCCAGGACATTTTGTTGTCTATTCTTCATATCCAAGTCCAATCCCATCCTCATCTACACTCCCAACTTTCCTGAAATGGTTTCTCTTCAACCGTGCCTTCAGCTCCCCTCTCGACTCTCTACCCTCTCCTCGCTTCCTCCCCTCACCCTGACCATTTCCGCCCTGCTCGGGTCCCGACCCAACGGTCCAGCTCTTTGGGACGTCCTCCCGACGTGAAAGGCAATCTTGTTGTTGTTGTTCTGCATTCCTGGATTCATTTCCTCCTCTTATCCAGGGATGTTGATGCCAATTTTAGAGCCCCAATTGCAGGCCCATCAAGCCTCGGTAAACTCAGAACAGATCAGGATTCAAACCTGCCTTGGGACGTCCAACTGACGTGAAAAGCACTATACAAATACAACTTGTCATTGCAAACTTCCCATCTGCATGCCCAGTACTGCATCAAGCACTAGCCTGTACCCAATAAGGGAGTTCTCTTAAAGCTTCAGCGATTAATGGGCATTTTGTTTTACAGCAAGAGGTGAGTAGGACACAGGTTACGTAATGTTCATGATTGTGGATAGGAAGGACAGCAAGTTATAACAGGTGATTGAAGTGTCAGATATCAATGTGAAGTAAGTGAAACTGCAGGATAATGCAGTTCGGTAAAAGTGTTTTTAGTACCTTCCTCTGCTAGTTCCAGGATGTAAGAATCCAGGGATGATACATTCTCTGCTTCAATGTGGTTCAGATACTGGAAGATGGTTAACAGCTCCACGTTTCCACTTCGAGCACGTTTTGGCAATGTTCTGTCCAGAAACCTTTCCACCAGTTTAACAAAGACTGCAAGAAAGAGCGTTACAAAACAGGCAGTGAGTCACTATATAAATCCTTAATGGCAGAAATGATTAAAGTCTAGATTCTAAATAAATAGCGCACGGCTTGCAGAGAGATGTTACCCAACATTGTCTGAAATCACATATTAAATAAGTTTCCAGGCTCTTTGAAAAGTGCAGTTAAGTTAAGGATGGTATGAGAGAGGTTTTAAAACTCATTTTTTAAAGCATGCTAACGTGGCTCATTTAGCCCCTGACTTTGTGTGTTTTTGGTCAGTCTGGCACACACGGGAACCCATCAATTCCAGGCAGGTCAGGGCGAAACCTTGGGCAAGTTTCCTTACTCCACACGCCTAATAATAATCCCTCCAAGTGGAGTCCTGTAGCTCAGTGGTTAGAGCACTCGCTTTGCGAGTGAGAGACCTGAGTTCAATTCCAGGCAGGTCAGGGCGAAACCTTGGGCAAGTTTCCTTACTCCACACAGAGCCTAATAATAATCCCTCCAAAAAACCAAAAACAATAATTAAATTGGTCATTTTCAATCTACGACTGCTTGTGGGACATTGCTGTGCGCAATTGGCTGCCGCGTTCGCCCACAAATATACAGTCAATTCACTTTACAGTGTGTTCTGTGAAGCGCTTTGGGACGTCCTCCCGACGTGAAAAGCGCTATATCAAATGCAAGGATTATTATTATTATCACCATACTCTATAGTCCCCAAATCAAAGTACCGAGTATGCCTGACTTCGGAATACCATTGTTGTAAAAGACAACTGGGCGCTCCCTGAACGCAGGAGTTGAATACACTGAGCTTTCAATACTGCTCTGTATCAGACAGAGCTTAGTGAAGGGATTATTTCCTCTTGTGCCAGGTAAGGCCAAGTGTTCAAACATGTCTGTCGATGGAGCAGAAACTCATGTTTTGAGTAGTGGTGGGTGAGGGGAGGGGGAAGGAAACAAATAAACAAGCCAAAGGAGTAAGAAGCATCTAACTGGCCGGCTTTCATACAAGTTTGTGAATATTATTCAAATCGGTTAAATTAAAATCTATTCAGTCTGGGTGTGGTTGGGTACATTCCCCTGAAACTAGTATCTAATGAATATTCTGTGGTGAAATTAATACTCTCTCAAATGCCTCGGCAAATCTGAAGGTGCAGATCTTATAGGCGTTTGCTTCCAAATGTGAAGCTGTAGCAAACATGATGCCGTAATGGTAATTCACGTGTTTAATTGTGGTCATTTCCCAGTGACAAGGTTACGTGACCAAGAACAGGTCTAGTTTGTTGCTCACCTTTGTCCACAATCCCCGAGTGCTTCTCCTTCACTCTGTTCCCGAAGCTGGAGTTCAGTTTCTGCAGAAACCGCTCGACCGAGGTGCTGTAAACATTTGGGGTATCGATGCACAGCTTCCAGAAAGAGGAGAGCGTTGGAGTGTCTTTGAATAGTGGCGTGACTGAGAAAAAGATTACAAAATGCAAGGACATTAAGGAGCTTGCTTCCTTTACAGGGCCATCTTAATAAAAGCCTTGCCCCTCATGCGGCCATCGGGTTCTAAGGTGGGAAAACTGAACCCAAGGAGGTCACACATTTTTTTGTTAGATATTTTTATTGATGTCCCGTCCCTGGCCAAAAATCCTCCAAATACATTGGTTATTCACAGCCCAGCTGTTTGTGGACCTTGCTGTGGACAAAATGACTGCTGCTATTGCTGACAAATTCACACACACTACACTTGGCAGGGATTACCTATGAACCGGTTCCAACATTATAGACACAATATCAAACGCAAGCAGGGTTAACATGATTATTTTACTGAAATTGCTGCCGCTACCCTCATTTTTAAGCGACATAGGAAGCACGGCAGCTCGTGCAGGAAACCTATTCTGATACCGAATAGTGCACGAGGTACATACCTTCCCTATTTAGGAAAAGATCAAAGAGAATGGAGGTTGAACCTCAATTGCGATGGTGCAGAAGCACTGGCGCCTGCAATAGATTGTTAGCCATTCAACCCACTGCATTTGGAACACTTAACTCACCCTCTTCAATAGTGCTTATGTTTCCAGCTTTCTCTGCACTCAATCTGGAGACGGTCTCCAGCACATGGGCCTCTCTCAAAAGTTTGTCTAGTGCGTAGATCTCCCGACAACGTAAAGGTCCGTATATACCCAGTTGCTGCAACACAAAACATTAATTGTAATGCATTCGATACTTAATCTTTAAATGTTTAATTGTGCTCCCACTGTAGGCGCACTATAACCTGCCAGGTAATAACACAGCAACCACCCTCTCCTCTCAACCTAGTTAAAACTCAGAATATCTGAACTATAATAACCCTGGAAATTTATATGAAGACATTACAATGTTAAACCGTGTTCACCTTGGATTTTACATCAGAATTAAGGTGCTACCTTTACTACGGAGCAACATAATGATCACTCTCAATGCAAAACCCCCCAATTTATGAACCCAGATTATATTGGGCAGCATTGTTACGGGTAGAAATTTGTTTCAGCAGAGCACACATTGCCTGTGTGATTTTGGCCACTAATTCAATTTCCCATTACAGTCGGAAATACTGAATTGAATTTTTCCCCTTAAGGTCTATTCGGGATTTTTCTTCCATCCAGCGGAGAGTGCTGTTGCACTGTGTAAAAGATGTGGTTTCACAGAAGCAACACTGCTAACTGAAAAGATTGTGTTTACAATAAAAACTTTTTTTAAAAAAAAAACAGAAAGCCTCAGGCACAAGCCTGGCCCTAAAGTGCTCACGTGCTTGCTCACCCTCTTCTCAAACATAATACCATCATGTGCATGATTCGGAATCGCCGTGGTATCTGATGTATCCGGATGAACGAAAAGATGTTGATGACTGTTTTGCAGAACTCAGTCTGTCTATCGACAATAACACTGGGTATAGACTGGACAATATCTTACATCTGGATGGGTGATCATCAGATTTTCTACTGGATTAAGTTGTTGATGCTAGCTCCCAGTGATTTTACTGCACTTCACCCAGCTTTTGTAAATTGTGAGCTTATGTATATAGTTTCCGATGTGTGTTCATTTCAAACCAGTTTCCTAGTGCACCCCCCCACCCCCACACACGCAAAAAAAAGTTAACAATTGAATCACAATTACTAAGTATAATTAAGCATGGTGGAGTTTAAATGTCTGTGGCCCTTTTGCTTCCTCAAGACTAATCTATTTATCCTGATGATGAGCTGAAGCTTTATTATTAAAAAAAAATGAGCTGCTGCTTGCTGTGTTGCAACTACCCTTCTCCAGATATTGTAAAGCACTCAGAGGGGCATTTACCAGGAAAAGTTTGCTGCAGGTGTTCAAGTGCATGACCAGAACCTGATCCAAATATTCATTCCCTGTTGTCATTGGAACTGGACTTGCTTCCGAGCCGCTGCCAACACCGGTGTCCTCAGTCAGCGCTTCACTAGGACCAGCAGCCAGTCTGCGATTGCTACCATTTTGCCTGTTGCAGAGGAATAAATACGTTTAGGCATTCGGAGATTGGCAATTGCTCTTATCTGCAGGATCCAGGACTTTCACTTGTGTGTTCCTGTTCCGCAATCTTTATGGGGTTACGAAATCTTTAGGCAACCCGGCACAGGGCAATGCACTCCGTGTGCAACCTTGTGCAAGGCATTCCTCCGCAAGGCATTGCTACCAAACTCAACGGAGATCGGTGGTGAGTAGAACACACTTTGGGTGGGGGGGGAGAAAGAATTTGGGAGAGTCAGCACAGGCTAAGAGAGCGCAGACCTGCCAGCTATGGGTAACACATTGAGTTATCCTCTAGGAATGCTGGAAGATCTAAATCAGGGTGAGTTAAAATTGGACCGAGAGAAGGGGGGTAAGCAAGAGGAGTAAAGTTGATTCTTTCAACAGCACTCCAGCAGTTCAATTCCAGACTGACTTCTCAGCCTCGAGCCCTATATCCTGCGGACCAAACACTTATTATTATTGACAAGCGTCTATGCTTTAAACTGTACCCAAGCTGAACTTGAGATGGCTCTGTCCACCTCTGCCCATGATGATGTGGGAATGAAAGTAACTTGAGCAGTATTTGGCTTATTTGCCAAGTCTGGGGGCAAGGAGGTCATGTACTTTCTTTTTAAAAAATTCAACAAATAATGCTATTTACTTAAGATTGACTTAACCAGGCTACACATCACAGCGGTCGGTCCAAGGAGCAAGAATTTGGGGAGTTATAGGAAAATGGTCAAGCCCATCTTTTTTTTCATAAAAAGGAGAAAAAAGAATTAAAGATGGTGCAGATCAGATCATGTGGGCACTAACCTCCCGTTTTTCTCAGCTTCATCTTCTGAATATTCGGAATCTTCCATGTCCGACGTGTTGAGGAAATCAAAGCTCTCCAGTGCATGCTCTACAGTCAGGCTGATGCTGGATGCTCTGCTCCTGCTCACTCCCTGCCTGTGCTGTAATACAAACCCAAACGTTTAAGAACATTTGCTCTCGTCTGACTCCAATCCACTGCTTGTTCCTGACTCCTTCCGGTCTACTATCGGTGACTGAGTATTCATTAATTACACCTCTGCCTTGTAGAACTCTCGCCCCAAATCCTTATGCATATCAGTCTTAGTTTAGTTTGTAGCAGTCTAATCTCGACGTCAGAAAAGTCGTGGGTTTAAGCCCCGCTTCAGGATTTGGAACCCATGTAGTCCAATGCAGTCCTGTGCTTCGGATGAGATGTTAAACCAAGCTCCCTTCTGCCTGTTTGGGTGGATGTCAAGGATCCAGGGTACAATTCAAAAAGAGAAAGTCATTTCTCCCAATGTCCTGGGCAATAATCCCCCAGATAAAATTGGTCACTCACTCCATGTCTGTTTTTGGGACATTATAAGAATGATAATAATAATCCTTGCATTTGATATAGCGCTTTTCACGTCTTCTCGATATCTCAAAGCACTTCACAAAATAGACTGTAAAGTGAGTTGACTGTATATTTGTGGGCGAAACGTGGCAGCCAATGGCGCACAGCAGTGTCCCACAAACAGTCGTGGATTGAAAATCACTAATTTATTATTGGTTTATTTTGGAGGGATTATTATTAGGTGTGTGGAGTAAGGAAACTTGCCCAAGGTTTCGCCCTGCCGGGAATTGAACCCAGGTGTCTCGCTTGCCAGGCGAGTATGCCTATTCACCCACAAAATACACACAGCCACGTCACTTTGCAGTTCACCCCCTTATGTGCTTTGAGACATCCAAGGTGCTATATCAAATGCAAGGATTAGTATTACATCCACCATACGACATTCAAAACAAGATCCTAACACTAGGCGGCACCACAAGCTTGGCCAGAGTCCACACCTTAGCCTGGGTTGTGCTGCATTCCTGCTGTAATGACTTACTCCAATCCAGATTCCCTGCTCTTCCTCCATACCCTTCATTCTAGAAGTGCATAAAATGCATAGACATTCCAGACAAGGAGGAAGAAGAAAATTAAGAACAGGAATTAAATTTTTTCCAAATATTCTTTCCTGCTCCAAAATAAACAGCCTGTTTCCCCCACTGGAAGTAAATTTACAACACCAACTGCCTTTATGTAGAGCCCTTCACATGGGGTAGTGTCTTGGTAGAGCTATTCGGATTTACAATTTGAAAGCACCTCCTGCAGAAGAGGTCTGGTGTTCAAAGGATTAACCATGCCAACACTCCAGCTTTTGGGGATTCGGGTGTGACTAAAGCAACTAAATAAACTCAGAGCACGAGTTAGGCTGAAAGATTACACCCACTCATCTGAGCAAGGAGTCTAAAAAGTCTCAGTCGCCACAATGGTCCAAGTGCACATTCCATCAATAGCCTCTGCATCAGCAGCGTAATTAACTACTGTTCCAATTCCTCCCACTAATTTACTTAAAAATCATTCCAGGGCCTCCACCATGCCAACAGATCAAGGAGGTCTCTGTTCTCTTCAGAAACCACACTCCAGCCTAATTCCCCAGTCTGTAGTCACTTACAGCTGCTTACTGCCACCCCCTCCCTTCCTTTCCCGACAGCAGGGAAGTAAATGCAAAGTCCATGGAATGTTGTGCATTGAGCAATTCTACCGTACTGTTGTCTAGTCAGTCATTGGTGCTCAAATGCACTGAGCCAGACTGTGTGCGTTGGGAGTGGGGCTTGGATTCAAAGCTCGGATAGCCAATATTTATTGTTCCAACAGGGAGGCAGTACTGCACAACAGCTTACACAAAGGAGACTGTGGGTTGCATTGAAAGATGAATCAACATGAGCTGGCCTTGCACACATTTGGAGTACCTACAGCGTGCAGATTGTGAGCAATTTAAAGCGAGGGATTGTGATCAATCGGGATAACAATAATCCCTGCATTTGATATTCCGCCTTTCACATCGAGAGGACATCTAAAAGCGATTCACACAATTTACTGTAAAGTGTAGTGACTGTGTACTTTCTGGGCCAGATAGCCAAGGCGGAGTGGAAATCATCTTGCTGCTGGTGGGATGGATTTAACCCACCAGGTCTACTGAGAGTCCACTGTCTCATTAAGCAACCAAGCCACTGCCCCTGCATCTTACTCACACGCCACAACCTTTAATATTTCAACACAGCGTGCCAGGCTAGGAGGCTATGTTATGTGAAAATAGTCCTCTTGGTGACTCTCCCCAGAAAGTGGAAAAACATTCTCATCTCCTCTGAAGTTTCCTCACTGGAGCTAAACATTTCCCACCAGAGATAAGAATGGCCCTATAAAATCCCAATTGCCTTGATTGAACATCAACCACACAACACCTTGAGTACAATCCAATCAATTCAGAGGCTCTGCAGCTTATAACGTGGCTGTTTATCTTTGGAATTTACAACGCGACAGTTTACAAGATCATAAAAAGGGCCTATCGTTCGGCTTCAGAATGCGTTTGCAGTGACGAACCCTGCTATCGTTCTCCCGAAACACAGTGAAAGCCTGTTAGAAGCTGCCCTCTTATTACACTGGTTTCCTTGTAACGCTGGTGCCTGCAGCTGAATTGGACCTGCAGACTGGCCACATGCCAAAAAAATTGCTGACTTCATGGTCGACGGGTCTCTGCCTCACACTGGGTATGCTCTGTGATGACCTGGAAGGCGGCCAGCTTTACACACCAGTGCTGCTGACCGGAGGCCGTTCGTGATTGCTCCCGTGCACTGTCACAGTGATCGGAGGGAACGAGCCTCCGTGGAACTGTGTTGGCCAGGAATAGGAAACAGCTGCACCAAAACCACTCAACACTGTACTGACTCCGCTTAACCCCGTCAAGCAAATCTGCCACCTCTGGCCCAAGGTTCTATTCGAGTTCAGGACACCCGCGTAAAGCACGACAGTGTTGCCTGTGCTGTGTTCGCAAACTACGGGAATTGTGTTTTTCATCTGCTCACGAATCCGGTTAACTCCAAAGGGAACATAGCCCCCTGCTCTGATGTCAACTCAGTGCCCACCCGGGGACATCCAATCAAAGCCACAGGAGAGGAGGGCAAACAGCATGCACAGGGCCCCACAGCACTGCTGGAAGAGAAATGTTGCAGAAACCAACACAAAAGTGCTCTGCAAACAGAAAGAGTCAGTGACCGCCTTGCATTCCTACGCATCTTCCTTGCCTGGCTCAATCAGCGTCCTTCTGCTGGGATGTTAAATCGAGGTCCTGTCTGCCTGTTCAGGTGGACATTAAAGATCCCATGACCCTATTCTAAATGAGTTTCACCCGGAGTCCTGGCTAACAACCCCCAGATAAAAACTTGGTTATTCCAAGTGGGACATGTTTGTGGGACATTGCTGTGCAAAAATTGGATACCACACTTTCCTACAAAACACAGTCGCTACACTTTACAAGGAATCCTGTGAAGTGCTTTGGGCTGTCCTTCCAGCGCGAAAGGCGCTTTAGCAAACGAGGGTAAAACTCTATTTTCAGAGTTAACCGGATTCGTGAGCAGATGAAAAACACAATTCCCGTAGTTTGCGAACACAGCACAGGCAACACTGTCGTGCTTTACGCGGGTGTGCCGTGTGGGCAGCATAAAGCGACTATGGCAAGAAATTTTGGGTGTTTTGATTTAGCTGCTTATTGGAATATTTCAGACGCCGTTTTAATTAAGGTCCCTCTCCCCCCTGCAACGTGGAAGTACAAATTAAACGGTGAGAGGGAGGAAAAAAACAAATTGGGATATTGCAGCTTAGAGAGTTTCACAGGAAAGTGGTTCCTGTAGGAAAATTATTCCCAAATATACTGTAATTATCTCGCAGTTACACATATTACACCACTGTATCTCCTGGGAAAAGGGCACAAATTGCTGAGACACCAGCAAGCTTTTAGAATTGCTTTTCCTTTTCAGAGTAAGAATCTTTCATGCGCTGATCTAACTTTACAGCTTACATTGTAAGCTGCCTTGCCTTTATTAAGAACCATTCGGCAATGTATGTACTACACGGAAGAAATGTCCCTTTTTTTGTTGTGCACAAAGGGGTTGAAAAGGTGCAGTTGCTAATTTTGACTTCTGGTTTGTGAGTATCAGATCCGTAAAATGGAAACTCGGACGCATAGAACAGAGAGAGCAGTCTCTCCAGACTTGCCATTTTCACAGACTCGCTATGTGCAAATTGACTCCAAAGGTCACCTACAAAAATACAGCCACTATGCTTCACAGTGAATCCTGTGCAGCGTTTTGAGAGTCACGTCCTGCTGTTGTGAAAGATGCTATAACAAAAGTTATTATTATTATAATGAAATTAATTAAGTCATATTGTTATTACTAATACGACTAGGATCACCCTTCTCATTTATCCTTAGAGTTCCAAACGAATACAACTCTCTATATCGGGGCCTAAATTCATTCCACTTTACAATAACTCTGATTCAATGCTGGTGGAACGTTTTATGCCTGAGGTGCCGTCCTTTGGATAAGATGTTAACCGAGTTCCTGTCTACTTGTTCGGGTGCATATTAAAGGTCCCATAAACTATTGGAAAAGGGACGAAAATTTCTCCTTGATGTCTTGGCAAACAATCCTCCAAATAAAATTGGCCATTCTGTTCTTTGTGGGATATTTCTGTGCACAAATTGGCTGCGTCAAAAATACACAGTCACATCGCAGCAATTACCCTTGAGGTGTTGGCATTACGGGTGCAATATAAAATACAAGGATTGTTTATTATTGTGGATTTTTTCATTCATCTTTGGTTTATAAAAGCAACAAAAGCAACCTGAATAGTGCATGCAGGCATTCAGACTGCAGCCTTGTACTTTCCTCAGTACCTTTCTGCAACAGAACTGCAACAGCAATACCACTCTTATCTTATTACTCACTCCATTATAAAAAGAAACAAGCTGCTGAAGGCAAGGATTACTGTACTCTTACTAAGCAAAGCTATCTCAAAGGAACCTTCACATTGAAGGTGAAGTATCAAAATCTTATCCTTAATTATTAAAGTGTATCAGCCTGGCTTAGTTGGTATCTCGCTTGCTTCCGAGCCAGAAGATTGTGGGTTCAAGCCCCATGTTAGGACTTGAAACTGGGCTATCACTCCAAATTCAGTGCTATATTGCTGGAGATGCCGTTATTTGGAGCAGATATTAAACTGAGGTGCTGTGTGTCTGTACAGGTGGACGTTAAAGATCCGATGGCACTAATCAAAAAGAGAAGGGAATTTGTCCTGGCCAACAATCCCCAAATAAGATTGGGTCATTCACTTTGCTTGCCGGTGTTTGTGGCACATTGCTGAGAGTAAATATGGTCACTGTACTTTACAATATATCCTGTAAAGGAATTTGAGACGTCTCGCTAACGTGAAAGAGGCTTTATCAATCACAAGGAATATTATTTTATTATTAAAGCAGGTTTGAGGTTTCAAAAGCCAATGTAACAAATTAAGATGAATCCAAATTGGAGACATTTCCTCCCCTCCATTCCTGCAAATCAATGACATCTGCAATATTAGAAAGCAATCTTACCATCAGAACTTCTTCTAAGTGTTTCACCTCCATCTCCAGTTTCTGAAGCTCTGGGAATTGGCCACGATAGTCTTCAAGTGTTGAGTTTAGTGTCATCAGGGCTTCATCTACACCTGCATCCACAGGCTTCACCTTGGCAGGCTCTGTAGGTCCGGCTGTCTCATCATTCGGTTTTGCTTTCTCCTCCGTAGAGGTGACACTTATAACCAACTCGACTGGAGCAACGGAGTCCACAATGTCCATTGCCACCACTGGAGTGAGTATGGCCTCGGGCGTTTCTTCATTGCCCAAGGGAGCCTCAGCATTTACTGTAATATTGATCATCTCCACAGTCACAGGTTCCCTCTCAGGCGGTTCTGGCTCCTCGACTAAATTTGTTATGGCAACTATCTCTGGCTCTGGTTTGTCGCTATCATCCGGTTCACTGAAGTCCATTGCTGCATCCACACTCACTTCACTGATATGGCTGAGAGTTCGGGAAATAGGCACGTTTCCATTAAGTACTGCGTGCTTTTGAACCTCTTCCTCCTCCTCCTGATGCTGCTGTTGTTGCCGGCTTGTCACCTGATGAGCCTGAGGTTCCTCGGTTTGTGCTAAGGCGATTGTAATTCTCGAGGCTGCTGCCTGGGTGTCTGGCTGCACTGACGCTTTCTGTGAATGTCTCACACTCGTCGACAACTGGGGGCTGGAGGAACCGTCAGAGGAGTCGGAGGAGATGGACCAGGCAGTGCCGTTTTCCAGCTCGTCCTGTCTCCGCAGCATATTCTAACAAAAACAAAAAAGCACGAGTTACTATCTACAAATTCAGATCCACACGGAAACCAAGTCTGAGCTCGAAACGGTCAGCGGATATATTTTAACCCTTGAAACGGTGCAAGAGCACAATCCTTCACAGCGCTGCGATGAACCTTCAGCACCAATCAAAGCTGCCTCTTTACAGAGGTTAAACTCTGCAAAGATCACAACTAAATATTGTACTGCCAAAGATATTAAGTCTTAGCTCTTTGGCTACAGGAAGGGAGAAGACAATTAAATCAAGCAAGGAATTGTCCTCATTTCCAATGGGTTCCATCACTCCATGTCCAGGCTTGTACATGGCCATTCAGGCAGGCTAAACAGAAGCTGTTGACACCTATTGACTGATGCTGGGGGAGTGTGTGTCTGGGGAGGGGGTTGCAATTTAGCACCTCTCGGAGAAGACTGGACAAGACCAAGAAAATTGAAGCAGATGTATTCTTAGGTAAGCAGCATCTAATCCGATGCTTCTAAATGTAAAATTTTTAAGATATAGTTTGTTGGGAGAGAGAGGGGGAGAGGGATTTAGCTGCAGATGTTGAGCTAGGTACAAACTCTGGCACGCATTAATGGAGCAATTTACTTCTTCATTACATTTGAATCATACCAGGGTTTCAGATAACAAAAGTTGCTTTGGAAATGGGACGGAAGTTACTTAAGTGTCAGTCACTGAAGCCAGCGGTTACCATGATTGTCAAGAAGGCTTGTCCCAGATTCCTGCTCTCTGGAATGGAGGACATGGGCAGTGTGGGGAGGTTCAACACAATGGGAGGAGGGGGATTCAAGAGAATTGGGTGGTGGGGGAGAGAAAAAAAAGGAAAAGAAATAGAAAACAGCAAACTCTGCGAATGGGACAGACTCTTCCAAGCAATTTCCAGAGTAACACCAAATTCAGATCAGTTAGGCTACAAAACAGACTCACGAGCTACAGACCACAAATAACAGGAATAGGAAGAATAATCATACTCTATCTAATGGCACATTGCATCTGCAAGCCTACTGTGACAGCAACCTAGCCGAGGAGCTATCTATCACTTACGTAGAACTCCAGCTTACGAGTGCCGGGCCTGACGGTGGACACGTCGTTGCATGAACAACTCCGAGTCAATTTCTCAACAAAAACTTCTCGAAACAAGTCCATTAGAGACCATCTGTGCTTTTCTGCCAATGGTCGCAAAGGATTCTTGTGGGCAGAAAAGAGCAAATGAAGGCAGCTTACTCTTCAGTCAGTTCAGGAGGCAAGCAATTCAAGATTACCCCCACCTTTAGGTTCCCTTCACCCACCCACTACACTGCCACTCTATGCCCAGGGCTCTGGCATTGCAACTCCAACTGCTGGATGCTGGTAAGTATTGAGGAGCTGCCTGTGATGAAGACACCCTCCATTCCTTCCCCCCAGTTAGAGAACAACAACAAACTACACTTGTATAGCGCCCTTCATGTCGAAAAGACGTCCCAGACAATAGTAGAGAATAGGGAGACTGAGGCTCCATCAGACCACCTCACAACACGGGGCACTGATACACCAACTGGCTACATCACTGAGTTGCCTTGGACTGATTTCAAAGCAAGGCTGCCACAAAGTGAAGGTTTTGTAAACGGTAGAGTTGGGCAATACGCTTGGTTTTCCACTCTGGACACACCAAGATCATATAAAAGCTGCTCCACTGAGGGATTTTTTTTAATATAAAAACACCAGGAATAAAGTCCAGATAACAAACAGCTCCACTTATTGTGACTTCAAGCCTCTGTACGTGCTGATAACCCAGCTATAAATGTTCAGAATTAGGTTGTATAATTTTACTGCACTAGAGTATCGAGGTGCTTTCCTAATGTGTTTATCTACTACCGAACAAAGTTTGGTTTTAATTTTGATGCTGTGCCACAGAGGTCACTCCATGCCGAACCATATGTAAAAAGGGCCTTTTTTTTATTAACGCATTGTGAAGTGTAACAGGTGGGATTTGTTATGGCCAGCGAAGGTTTCTATTGCAATATAAAGGCACAATAAAAAGTTTGCTGACTTCAGCAAACAGCTGGCTAGAAATTTCACCTGGGTCTATTAACATAACAGTCCAGAATTTGGTAAAAGTATTGAGTTCAGTCTCAACTTAAAAAAATTTTTAATCTTTAAAAATAGTTCTTAAAAGGAAGTTACAGAAAGCCGAGCTTCAGAATTAGGATTATATTTGTTAATACAGGAAATCTAGACCCAGGTGGAAGTTTATTCCCAGCATGTATTAGATCCTAGTGTGTTCTGGATTCAAAGGTAACTGGTCCCTCAAATGTCTTTGTCCAGAAATGTCAACTTGCTTTTAAGAGGAATCCAAAGCATCTCAAAAGGGCAAGATTCGTTTTAAAAAATGATTGTAGTCCCAGATAGCAATACAACCAGTGGCCGAAACCTTGTGTAATCTTACAGTAAAAAGCTTTGCAATATTACGGGTGACATGATCTAGTCCCACCCCTCAGTCCACTGATAAAACTGAGGGCCTGTTTTGCCAGTCACAGTGTGGCAATTTCTTCTGAATTGCATCAGGAAGCTACCTCAAAAAAAACAAGGATAACTGGATTGTGATCAGGAGATATTTTCTTCCTCCTCTCTCCCTAGTTCAGGGGCTGGGCAGATGCTAATTGCACTGAGATCAACTAATTGAGGGCAGAGCCTGGCACCTACCATATCTGTTTGGCTCAGTTTAATTGAAGGCAGTGGATTTGTGTTATCAACTGAGCCAGCGAAACCAAGATAAAAATGCCAAAGCCTAGCAATAAACGATTGGTGCCCACAGTGAGCGACTCCGGGGTTGGACTCCATGATTTGCAGCCTCACAACTCAGCACAAAGGTCCTTTATCACCTCGGACATTTGAGATGGTTTATTGCACACTTTGACTGATCGCATCTGCCAACCCGATAGCTGTCGTTTATTTGAGTGTGGATATTCAAAATCCATTTTAATTGGTTAGAGGATCAGTGGCAGAGCAACAAACCAAGTCTCTTGCCAATAGCTACTGAGAATCCACGGGCTATTGCGAGAGAAAAAAATAATAATTTTAGGTTTTAAAGACTATCTAATTTCAGTGCTCCATTCCCCGAGCTGGCAGTGAGATCAGAAGGCTAGTTGTGTAAAGTACACGCAGTACACATTTTCTCTTTCGCCACTCCTTAAGCTGCAAGTTATATCAGGAAGGTATCAGAACATCGTCAATGTCTCCCAGGCACTACCTCTCTGCGTATCCAGACTCCTCTCTCCCTCCCAACAATCTTTCTCCTCCTTGAACGTCACAACTTTTAAGCTAAAGCATACATCTCAACTGAAAATTAAAGGGGCTACTTGCAAAGAGAAGGGAGTTTCTTCCGATGTCCTGAATAACAAATGTCAGCTCGGGTCCAAAAATCTCTGACTGCCCAGCGCCCTGGGATGTCTTTCTGACATGAAGGGCGCTATACAATTGTAACTTGTTGCTCTTGTTCCTGCACGCAAATTGCCTGCTGCATTCACCCTCGAAATTCACAGTCACGACACTTGACAGCAAGCGCTTTGAGGCGTCTCGACGATGTGATAAGGCGTGATATCAAATGCTAGGATTTCTATTATAATGCTGGAGAAAAATGCACCCTTACTGTCCCATTACAAGCACACAATGCACAACTGTTCTTGAACAGGGTGATCACATCATCACATAAATATTCAGCAGTGACTTCACTTCATGTTCTCATTCAGGCGTTGACCCACATATTCATCCCTGTATTCATTGTAAAAAGTTTTTGCAGCCCTTAAGTATTAGCGGCTCTCCCCAGACAGCTGAGTAAGTGAAGCTACAGGCTTGAGTAAATCAGACTGAAAGGTTCCTATTTTCAACCCCAATCCATGCCAGTTAGTTGATCTCAGTCAGGCAGCAGTAAGGCCCTATGAACTTGGATTATCAGGGGTTAGGATTGGGGCGAAATAGGTAGATTCCATTGGTTTTGCAGCTAGGGTAAATGACTATAGTTTTTGTATGAACACCAGTTATGGACAAGTGTGTACCTTTGTTAGGATCTTTCTGCCACGCTGTTTTGCCCACTCGCTCTTTGTCTTTAAGTCCCAACTCAAATCCCTCTTGATCGAATGTGCCAATGGCCACCCCACTTTCCTCCCCCAGCTCAAGAGTTCAACTTCATCCCTGTAAAGCATCGTGAGCCAGAACCCTACATGAAATACACTGTATAAATGCAAGCTGCTGTTGGATGCTGAGTCTCTCCTAAGTTTCCCTTCGATAACAATTGTGTATTCAGAGCAAGCCGCAGATGCCGACAGTAAGTAACACAGAAAGTAAAGCAACAACATGACGCCACAATCAGTTACTACGTGCAGAGACTTACGTAAAAGGCTTGTTCCCGGAGGGATGGGGTGTCTGGGGGGCTCTGGTTGTAGGTGGAGAATCGCTTGTTTACGGTGGATGTTTTGGTGACCGTGCTGGCAACAGACGTTTGGTCATCTTTGTCAAAGGGACTGAAAGGCACAAGACAACGGAGCAAAATAAGTCACGCGCAGACACTATTGAGATGTTAATGGGCACCAACAGAGAAAGGCAACAGTGGCTGACAGAAAATTTCGCTGCAACCATTTCAGCCTCGAGACACAGCAAACTAAATAAATGCCCGCATCGAAAGAGCTACGTGAAACAAACACCACGAACGCTGAGGATCAGGGGGTAGGTTCCAAGTTTCCGTATTTAGAATCAGTTATGTTTGATCTCTTTTGATAATGATAATAACAATCCTTGCATTTTGATATAGAGCCTTATCACGTCTTCGAGACGTCTCAAAGTGCTTCACAGAATATACTGTAAAGTGAAATCACTGTATATTTTGTGGGCGAAACGCGGCAGCCAATTGCGCAAGGCAAACCGTGGATTGAGTGGCCAATTTATTATTTATTTACTTTTGAAGCAATTATTAACCCCGGAAAAGTAATCCACCAACCGACTAACAACCAGGTTCCTACTTACTGCTCGGTAAACGGGCGAGTATGAAGTAAGGAAACTTGCCCAACATTTCGCCCTGCCGGGATTCGAACCCAGGTCTCTCGCTTGCGAGGCGAGTGCTCTAACCACTGAGCTACAGGACTCCATGATAAAAATATAACGTTCAGTCGCTCTTTAATTGTTCAATTCTCAGCTCATGCAGGGAGAGCTCAATTTCAGGGCAAAATAAAGAGATCCAGACTCGACTGGAGCATAACAAGTGCAGAAGACGAGTCAAATCTCGATGTCTTGTCCGTTCATTTGTTAAGAGCTAAAAGTTTCTGGCCGAAGCAAAACAGAGTCTCTCTCCCGGAATTTAATCATGTGCACAGCATAACCTATGAACTCTGAAGAACAGTCTTAGCCAAGCAAGGGTCAGCAGGCGAGAGATCGTCAGCAATGCCCATGGCAGAGACTGTGCTGATTAAAAGGGCCAACTGCAAACATGAAAAGCCATCGCACAGTGGGACCCACTGCAGTTATAATTACAACCAAGAAGGCAAACTTATACCCCCCGCCCCCCTCTCACCCACCCAACCAAACGTTTGAGCCAAATTTATAATGTGAAACGTGTACAGGCGTTAATATTCAACCTGCATAATTTTAGATTAACATCATGCAAGACTTTCATAAACAGCCTTAATTAAACAGCTTGACGGCAGAACTGCAAATTGAGAGAAAAAGGAACAACCTTTTCTGGATTAAATGACTGCAATGAAATCAGCAAGCAGAATTCAATGCGAGATGTCTTCGTTATGTGAGAAAGGTCAGAGTTAATTCTACGAACAGCTTAGTCAGAACTCTGCAGGTCCTACATCACAGGGTTACTTACGTACTTAAGTCTAAATAGGCTTATGACCCCAATGCTGGTCACAGAATAACACCTCCAAGTGAGCTTTCTCAATCCTTCCTGATCTAAACAATCTGCTTTGAAGCACGATTAGGTGCAAAATGTCCAATACAATAAATTATTAATTATTATAATGTTGAGAATTTTTAAATAATGTCACATTAACCACAGCCAGAAAGAAAGGCGATTGTAGAGAAAAGAACATATCAGAATTTACATTACATGAGGGAAAGCAACGGAAAATGACTCAGAAGCTGGGCTGCAAGTATTCTGGTCAAAGCCTCTGCGCTTCCACTTAAGTGTGTTAATGGCTCAGGTACCTGAGGAGCTGCAATTCAGTGGCAGATCAGTGGGGAACCACTCGAAAGGGCCAGAAACAGCGACAAAACAAGATATTTTGAAATGAGGTGAAAGCTAGGCGTGGTTTTTTTTGCACCACTTGGGAGCTGGAGAAGTGCGGGAGTGAGAAAAGAGATCTTTGAGCTCAAGAACACAAAGCAGAATGCTGCTCAGGCCCCAGCTGGGCATCCACTTGTATTAACCGGACTTGTGAATGGAAACTGGCCGCACCCCAAACTATTTGCGCCCACGACCATTTGATTTGCTTCTGTGAAGCAAACAACTCTTCTATCACCCCCAGTTACGGCTGCAGTTAATGCTAGCGTTTCGCCCACAAATATACAGTCAATTCACTTTGCAGCATATTCTGTGAAGCGCTTTGAGATGTCTCGAAGACATGAAAAGCGCTATATCAAATGCAAGGATTATTATTATTATTATTATACTCCCACTCTCTCTCTTGTCGCAGTATCTTGGGGCACAGCCTCTGAGATAATCTGCACATCGCTCCACCAATGTGGGAGGTCCTACACTTCACAAATACCTGCCTTTCATCTCAGTAACTGGCATAAATAATTCAGACAACCCACACAGCTCAGATTCCCCCCAAAATCACACATAATTATAAACACCAACCGCGGTGTTTCACTGACAGATGTTGGGGAGGGCAGATGTTGAAAAACAAATGAACCGAGTCCAGGAACGGCTGGTACAAGCCCCTGTTACTATGCCACATCGATCCGAAAGATACTACTTGTAAAATCACAGCACAAATTGGGGAAAGACTGCAAGTGAAAGGCTTCTCTGTAATGTGATGAAAGCAGCCCTTTGATTTTCTATTATTCACTACAGGTTTTGTTGGGAGACAAAAGCATTCCCCTGCTATTAGCACACTGGAAAATGCTAATCTCCTGCTTAATTTTTTAAAAAGGCTGTGAAGGACTTACTTCCAGATGACCTCCAGGCTGAGTTTAATGGTTCCCAGGTCATTGATATCCACTGCGACAGACTGAGGGAGGGCTGCAAACAGGTCCTTGGTTTCACACGAAACGTTGCCAACAATGACGTGATTCGCCAGGCTCTTCAGCTCCGTCACCTGTAAGAAGGAGTGGATTGTGAGGCTGTGGGTTTCCAGATTGGATTCCACCTGAACCCAAAAAATGATCAGTTTCATTCCTGGCCACTTACATCTTTATGTTGGATGTAATGATTTCACAGTGCTGCTGAATAGCAAATAGGGAGATTTCATTCCCTTATGGTAACACTGAAAAGGACGACGGTGCCTGACATTGGCTTCAACCAATACACACAAACCTAACACAGCCCGCTCGTACCAAATCTGCACCCAAACTTTCTTCCATGCCAAACCCAGCTCAGTTTACCATTCAGAAATCCATTCCCTACTCCTCCCCATTGTGTCTCCCTTCCTCTACACATTAAGTACGTTTGGTTTGTCCACACAACACACACATTCACATCACATTACAGTAATCCAGCACTTTATCAAATGGAAGGAGTAAGTAATAAAAGTAAGTTTCACATTTTAAGTTTGCTTTAAAAAGGAAAATCACGATCACTGCTTTTGAATTGTGACAGCCCACGATTTCCTTTTGAAACTCTGGTATTGTCTTGTAGACTTGTATTAGAAAGGTCGTAGACAGTAAATGTTTCTACAGCGTAATGGGCTAATGTTTCAACATCCTGTTGAAGAGCTTCCTCTTCATAAACAGAAATACAGTCACATAAATAACAGTTAGTCTGGTGTCTATTATTGATCCCAGAGCTCGGATTAAAAGGGCTGCAGGACATTGTCTGTATTTCTTGTGAAAACTATCTTATCATGTTAAATTTGAATAAACTCCCCGGTGACTGAGGGCTTACCTTTATCGAGAGGAACTCGGTGATGAGGGGCTGGAAGACCATATCCTCACCGTCCCACACCTGCCTGCCGTTTGCTTCAATCCGACCCTTCAACTTCCAGCGCTGGCGGCCATACTTCATAAATATCTGCCAAGTAATGTAGGAATAGTTTTATATTTCATTGGTGTATTTGGGTTGAACATTTACAACTGTCTCCAAGTAAAACCACGGCTACTGTCTAGGTGCCCGCAGCTCCAGACATCAGGAAGCCGAGATTAGGAACATTACTGCTTGTGATTGTACTGTAAGAAGTGACTGCAGTTTATGTTACTTCCAATGTTAAGAGCAAAGATCGCTTAACTGCCCACACCTACCCTGGACCATCTCTGAAGGGGGAATGAGTGTGTGTGGGGGGGGGGGGGTCACACTACTTTTAACATGAACCAAAGATTACGGCTATAAAATACCCATTTTACAATAAATCTGTGAAGCACCTTGAGACGTCTTCCCGATGCAAAATGTGCTATATCGAACGATTGGATGATTACTATTATAAAGAATCACTTTCCACAGGAGATTGACAACTCAAAGACAAGTGAGCAACAGCAAAAAGAGACACACACACACACCCCCACACACCCACCCACCCACCAAGAATTTCCATTAGCTGCGCAGTGTTTCCTCACCTCATATTGGTCTCCAGGACAGAGGCGTGCAAATCCTGCGAGGCCTGAAACAAAACAGAAAAGAAAACATCAATTACCTTTGCTAAAATAGTTTATGGTCGATTCCTCATTAGCTGTCAAAACACTTCCAAGGCCTCCAAAAGGAAATTAATATTATTACTAAGAACATCTCTGGGACATACAGAGTAACAGGCTGACCCAAAGAGAGAAAGAAGTTTCTCCCTGTGTCCTGATCAATAATCCACAAATAAAATCGGTCATTCACTTCATGGCTGCTTGTGGGACACAGTATGGAAAAATTGCCTGCATCATTCGCCTAATGCACAGTAACACGACTTTACAGTATATTCTGTGAAGCCCTTTTAAGATGTCTCAGTGAAAAGGATAAGGCGTTACATCTTTGGAATGCAATTATTATTATCAAGCATCTGATCAGTTAGTAACAGTTAGTAAATGATTAAGTTTTTGGAAAACTGACTGACAGGGTCAGTAAAATGGAGGAATATGAATCTGGAGTCCTGCATAACACTAATATACCGATGAGCCTGTTGCTTTGCATCCGCAAAGACATACACACACTATGGTCACTTGGGGACCCAGGAACCTCAGACAGATTGTTCCATGACTATTTTGAGTTGACATCAAGTGCTCGTTTCCAAAGCCTACGCCAGGCAAGAAAAGATTTGACATAAAAATTTCAAAGTGCAGCATTTTCCTTCTTTTCGAAGGAATGAATCAATAGGGAGGCTTAGGCTACAAGCTGTGTACTGTACATGAGGTCGTGGGAAAACAGGGGCACTTTTCATCAGCGGGAATGAATGCTGGGCTCAAATATCACCACTCCCTCAAAAGTACACATTGCTTAAATCAACCTGAAAGTGCCAGAAATAAAAGAAACAAGCAAATAAAGTAAAGTTTGGGAGTTAATATGCAACTTCCTGACCTGACCTTGACTTCACTGTAGAAGGATGTTCTTGCGATCAGAGCTTTTACCGCGAAAGATTCCAAACAACTGTGTATAAGCTATAACTCCTCCACCCCCAAATCAGTGCACCAAGGGTTTAACATTGAGCTGCTACACTCAATACAAGCCCTCCCCTGCCTCCCTCCCTCACCTCCCCCCGTAGCCCGAGGTTTGGAAATCAAACTAGCTAATATTCAGAGCAACATGCATTTTATTGCTACACGATTTATATTTCTAAGCTTTAAATGAAACCCAAGTGCCAGCCCTGCCAGAAGTTTTCCACCAGGATCTCATTATCGGCCTGCTCGCTCACTCGCTGCAGAGAGGTCCTGTGAGGCTGCCAGCAGTTATGGACTCACTGCCCACGAGGCACGCAATCTTTCTCCTCGACTCCATCATTTGCTCTTTGATCCACAGTGGATCAATTCAAGACACCCATTTCTTTGCCCAAGACTTCCGGGTTAAGCCTCGGAAAAAGGAACAGGTCGGGATTTTATCATTTGGACAACACTGTACCTTACGACTGTTATTTTGTTGACCTCACAAACATAAGAGCATAGTGTTGTGCAAAGCCGCAACTGCACTAGTTAATACTGGCCCAATCTCCTACCGAGAAGAAAAATAGGATTCTTTCTTTCCCCATTAGTGCCCTCAATGCAAACCACCACTGGCCCCTTACATGCATTTGGAATAAAATTTAGCAGTGAGTCGCAACCTTTCAGAAGGTTGCCCATCAGTTGCCCGCCTTCAAGTACCTCACAAGGAATTGTTGTAAGCAATATTAATTTACATTTATACAGCACCTTTCATGTTGAGAGGCCACCTCAAAGCGCTTCATACAAACCTACTTAAAAGAGGCCCAAGATCTTTGGTTTGTTCCTTGCTTTACACTCCAAGGCACCAGATCAATGACGTGATGCCTTTTTTATACTTGAATGAACAAAGCTTATTGCATTTTCACCTCCGCATTGGAGATTTTGCAAACGTTTGTTTTCACAGAGGAAGGAGAGACAGAGAGAGGGTGGAAGGACAGAGAGAGGTGGGGGTTTGGACTTCAAAAGTGACAGAAAGGCCACAATGTTAGACGACTTCTCCGGTAATTAAATTTCAACTCATTGAATGCAATTCTCCCTTTGACGAGCTCAGCCCCACAATGGTTTAGACAATTCCAAAGTAAAATGTTGCATTGCTGAACTTAATCACAAAAGCACGAGGCTTTGCTGAATAAGCCGTTTCACTTCCTGCTCTGCACCAGCCTCCTCACTAAAGCAATCTCCTGCGAATCAAGCTGCAGAATCCCACTGATCTTCACAGATGTTTCCTTCATATCAGAAAACAAACCAAAAAAAAATGCTGAAGTTGACATTCCCTTCTCATGCCCTAAAAACTCTCAAGGCAAGAGTTTCATTTCCAAACAGTATTACAGAAAACCTCTGAATCCTTTTGTAAACAGCTAAAGTAAATTTCCATTTGATTGCAACTGCACAATAAAAACTTATACGAAAAATATTTTTTGTTTGATCTGACTTGAACCATTGCAGTACAAACTCTCCTGTCTGCTTAAACCATTACAATAAGGTCACCAGTCCTACTAAAGGTTACAATTTTTTTTAAAAATGCGTATCGCTGAAGCTCATTGCCTGGGTTTTGAGACAAAAGATCCCATCGGAAAACTGTGCACTGATGTACAAAGCAGAAATCTCACTCTGGGTTCAGATGGTCAGGGTTAAAGGAGGATCAAACGAAAAACAATCACCAGAACTGCCAATTGTTAAACAGAAAGCTTCCGGGCAAAATTGTGTCAGAACTATCTCAGTCCCAGCCTTCACACATTACAATTATGGTATAGAATTGTATAATTGTCCGCTATTCAAACACTTCCAAAGCATCCTCTATTTTCAGCACAAAACGAAATACCAATAGCACATTTTGAGCTGAGAATGACTGAAAACCCAAAGCTGGTAATAAATCAAACTATTTTTTCAGCCAACAGGTTTTTTGGGGGAGTCTACTAGTTGGCTGAATAAATCCAGAATAGACATAAAAAGAGAACGTTCAGAACATTTATTTCAAGTCAGACTTCTATTATCTGTCTTCAGGAGTTTACGCTCCAGCCACATCTTACAAGACTCAAGTGAGCTGCAGTACTGTACACTGATAACTGTTCCCAATCTAAACACCAGCTTGCTGCAGGATGTTTCAAATGCAAATAGAATGCAATAGTTGTAAGGGGAAAACAAGTTCCAGTTGATGCTATAACTGTACAAAGAGAAGCTAACCTTGTTTGTTGTTGGCTAAGATTGCCTAACCCCCTCCACCCCAACAATGAACAGAGCTAAACAGCATAACCAAAACTAAAAACAGTCACACCTGAAGCTACATTCCACCAGAGGGAGCATTTCCAGAAGTCTCATGTGTGCCTATTGGAGGTAGAGAAAGAATCCTAGATATTACAAGTCTAGTCTTGCTCATGCTATCTCCATCACCGAAGCCACCAACTTCAATCCCAAATCCTGTGATATTCTTCCTATTCAATTATGCATTGAGAAAGAAAAGGGTGTCCTGGTTATCCCAGTGTCCTAGCCAACAATCCTCCCAATAAAGTTGGTCATTCACTTCATGGTTGCTTTGTAGGACATTGCTGTGCACCCGTTCACTCACAAAACACACAGTCACTGCACTTGACAGTAAATCCTATAAAGTGCTTTGAAACATTTCAAACAATGTGTTAATCATCAAGTCCAAGAATTATTATCATTATTTAACTCCCTTTTAAACGTTATGGTCTTGGCTTCAATAACAACAACAAAATTACATTTGTATAATGCCTTTCACGGGAGGATGTCCCAAGGCGCTGGATAATGAACATCAGTATCAAACTATCTCATCTGCTAATAACCCTAAACGTTTATTCTAACCAACCCTCAATTCTTCCAGTGACAAAATTATGGCCTCTTGTTGTGGAGTCAGCAATCAGCTTGAATAATCTTTTGCAAATTACCCTCCCAAACTTTCTCAGCATTATAATAATGACTATTTAATCCCCCATTCACCTCCTCTAATTCCAATGAAAATGGACCCAACTTTGAGCCTAAAGAGTTATTCTTCCAAGGAGTTGTGAAACAGCAGCACTGGCGGAGGCTTGGCAATGTTGCGGGTTTGTGAGTAGCCAGGATTCTACAGGGAAATGCGTAGCTCTCATCAGTTATGCTAGTGGTCACTGCCTCCGGGGGAAAGTATGACGTGATTTATATATACTGCGCGTGCTGCTGATTCACTCTGCCATCGGCAGTAAACGTGCTCTGCAAATGGGACAAATTTGAATGGGGCAGTCAAGGAAGTGTAATGACGGCAGGTGTGGGGAATAGAACCATACGCAGAAGGCAATACCCTGACATTGATGTATAGATTGAATATGGGTGTAAATGGCTGAGGCAGTGCAGAGGCAACTTTGCTCAGTCTCCGCCCCAACCTATATCTTGGTGCTGATGCCAGGTGCTAAAAGGGAATAAGTCTATATTTGGCACATTTGGCTAAATGTCATTTGGAGCAATTATTGAATGGCAATCTCTCTTCAGAATGAGTTATTGACCAATTTAGATCTAGATTTTAAATGCAAGGGGAAACAAATGCAATTCTGAAAGGCAAAAGGGTGCTTTTTTCCTCCCGCCCTCATGTTTTTCAGTAATTTCTCTTCACTCCTTCAGAGACTCGCCCATTAATTGTCCCTCACGTTGTATGCTGAAAATGCTGTAGGAAGAGTCTCCTTCCTGTGATACAATTTGAATTCAAATCCTCGCTGCCTTCTTCAGTTACACAGCAATACAAGGGTGTGATTGTCAGAATGCTTTTCATCCTCATATGGTAATCTTTATGCACTGACAAGTTGTCCTCCTACAGCTCCAAACGATAGGCAGTTATCTCTGTTGCCTAGTTACTACTACTACACACACTGCTGATTCTACTTGTGAGTTTTACAAGATGTTGAGGTAATGTAATTTATCAGCAGTAATACCGTGGAAAGACAACGCCTGGTACAAGTCAATTTACAGCGTCCTCTTTAGGGCATCTTCTTGAATAGTAACACTCAATCATAAAGTAGGAAAAAAATCCTCCAGGAACACACTATTCCACAAGCTTTTCTTCATTTATGGAAGGAGAAGATCCGTGTTTATAATAATAATAATGATCCTTGCAGTGCCTTTCACGTCAGGAGGATGTCTCAAAGTGATGTACAGGATTTACTGGGAAGTTCAGAGACTATGTTGTATTTTGTCTACTAAAAGTGATGCAAACCTCTCACATGCCACATTTGCAGACACACAGACAGACAGGCAGGGAGGGAGGAGAAGACATTGACATCAGCAGAAAATTATGTACCAGAGTTATGTCCTCTGTGAACTGAACACAGTTACTTCCCTTGAACATTGCTCACAGCCAACCGTAAAAAGATGACCTGTTTAGCCCCATCATCTACTAATTTACGAATCGATTGCGGTGGGAGGTGGTACCAGTGTGGAAATAGTTTGGCAAACAGAAATTACGATAAAGCCTCAAGGCACTGGTCAGGTTAGTATTTACTAAAGACCAATAACTTGATTAGTTCAAGGACTGTCCAAAAGGCAAGTTCCTAAAATTCAGACGTCATTGTTTAAATGTTTTCTGGGAAAAGATTCACACTCACCTTTCATTTTCACGTGAAACTCTCCTAACTGGTTCTCCAGTTCATTTTCCATGGTGCACATACTCTGTGAGAAAATGGAACAAAAAAATTTGAGTGTGGCAGGTACCAGATCACGTTCAAGAATTCAATCAACTTGGTTAAAAGAATATAAAGCCAATGGCTAGTGCGCACAAGATTCATGATCTGCAGTTCTTTAAAAAGCAAGGCAGACGATTTCCATCATCGGTGGCTTAATGGAACACTTCGGGCCAGTCTCACTTCAGCCCACAGCAAAACTCTTTTCGTTCACAACAGAGTGCTGAGCTTTAGGTCAGAGGGCACTCAGTACCTGTGGAGCACTGTACCTATAAGTAGGAAAAGTGTCAAGCCTCTACAGTGCGGCGTCATGTTATTATTGCCTCGGTGCAATCTGTCAGCTCAGAGCTTTACCTCGGTGTATTCTTTGTAGCCCTTGTTCGCTTCGACAAGGCTCTCCTTTGCCTCTTTGCTGCCCAGAGACACAGAGTACGCGCGCACCATGTTGTTTGCGCCGTCTCGCAATCGTCGTTGAATGCAGTAAGCTTCATACAACTCATCAATCTGCAGAAAGATTCATATACATGTCACCAACTTTATCGGGATCGCGCTGTAGAGTCAGAGTCAATCGAATCCACAAAGAATGGCCTCTGGGACGAGGGAGCCCTCGGGCCGAACCTTTGGGCAGGATTGCTGTGTGCTTCGTGGGAGCCTCTCCCCTCTGCTCTCATCCTCATGTTTTACAATCAACAACCGATGCATGGAACTAACCCATCCAAATGGAACATCTAACATCTAAACAAATACCACATCTTAAATGGAAAAAGAATCAATGCTCTGGGGATCTTACTCCATTTACATCAGGAACAGGATGTTGTTTGAGGTCAACACTCCTCACAGAGGAGTAAACATTCAGATCACCACTAACGGGGGAAGGGGGAAGAATAGGAAAAGGATTAAACCCCATATAAAAGTTATTTCTGACCAGCGGACCTAAATCTACAAGCACAAGAAGCCAGGATCAAGAGACAGATATCGGATGTTTAGATCTTGCCCTTTATATATAAAGATTTATGCAGGAAGATCGTATTAAACTCGAGATTAGGACTTTAAGTAGCTATTTAAAATCCATCAACATCAAAAGAAGGTAGTCCAGAAAATCATTATTTATACATTTAAATTTTAAAGAGTTTAAGCTAAAGTTTAGCCTTAAAAAAATAAAGAGAAATGCATTGATCTCAGCCTGGCTGGCTTCAGTTTGGGGCAAAGCGTCCGTTGATGTGCGTCCAAGCAGAAACAGAACATTTAATTTAAACCCCAAACCCAGTGCCTTTCAACAGTCTATACCTAACTCAGCTTGAGCAGCTGTGGGGCAACAAACATTGCGAGATGCCTGTGTAACTGGTTAGCCACACTTCAGGCACAGAAAAGCAGCAAACTAAAATAAAGGAGGAAGGGACGAAAATTAAATGCACGTTCTGTTTAGGTTTAGAGGCTCTGAAATGTTTATCACTCCATAAATACAGTGCTTGAACTGAGGCCCATCACAATTACATGTATTATGCAGCAATGAGCCATATTTCAGCTCTATTAATCCTCAACTGTATATTTATTTCCAGTCTTGTTTATCTATCGCTGAAGGAGGAGCCGTTTGTGGAGACAAAGCCGTTTGAATTGTTCAAATCACATCGAAACTAACTTTAGATGGTGTTTGACTCAATGATGAAGGAGCCTGACTTTTAGTCAGGATCTCAGGAGGGAGTTACTGAGGACAGGATTCACGGCATATAAACGCCCCCCCACTCCCAGGGGTTTTGTAACCATTTTGCTGCACACTGAGTGGATCTTAGTCATTTCCAGGCAGACATCTCAGGCAGCAGACCAAAGGACACAAACAAAAAGGCTGTCTGTCGGTCTGAAAGTAACTGTACAGATGTAACTCCAAACACACACTGACTGAGAGAGCAAAAAAGCCCCAGTTGGTTGTTCACATCACGAGGAAACATGCTTGGCACATGGCAATTGAACCCTCACCCTAGAAACTCTTCCGACAAGGAGTTTAGACAAGGAAACTGCTCGAGGGCTGGCACTGCATTGCATACCCACCGAGTCTGCACAAACCCAAAGGTGCTACTGATCCCTAACATTGAATTATATTGAATTTCTTGAGCCCATTGACAATTGGAACCTGAAACAGCTCCAGGGTTCCAGCCGGGTACTGTTATGAACTCGATTTAATCAAGTTAGACTCTGGAAACGTTTAGACAGGATTCACTGCTTTTCAAAGGGAAAGAGATAAAAAAAATGGAAAGTGTTAATTTACTGCATTATCACAAGGGTAGATTCGAGGAAAAATACAGTGCCAGCTTCTGGAACTATTCTGCAGAAAGTCTGAGGAGCCATAAATCCAATTTTAATTAGGAATCCATCCCTCTGCTGCCAATTACACACAATCATAAGCATTAAAGTCAGCTGGCCTAGGCAGGGTGATGCAATTAGTTCATTTTTTATAATGAAGGGTTTGGGAAATTCGACTGGAAAGTTAATTTGAAAAAGATGCACAAATTCTATAACCAATGTTTTCATACTATTTAATAGGGCAGCGGTGCCCCCTGCTCTCAATACTAAACACCATCATCACAAAGGCTTTGGTCAAATTTGAGTGTTGACTCTACTCTCTGCAAATTTCAGGAGGTTAAGAACCAGGCTTTAGTGTTGGTGGCAGGGAGGGTGGAGGCAGTGCACACTCATCCATTGCATCGGTCTTTTTAAGGAGGTTTTGTTGGACTCTAGAACAGGACAGTGACTGAACTCCTGCTGTGTGCGATGGACCTTTACCCTCTGGAAACAAGTTGGGGCGCCATCTCACTCAGCATGGTAGGGGCGATTGCCTGCGAGCATCGACAGTAATGGAAGGAAACAACACATGGAAGTACATAGATACGTGCAATTCCTTTTCATACCCTACAGGAGGGAGAAGCAGGCATCGAGACTCAGAGACAGTCAGTTCTGCAGCCGAACCTCACACTTCTGCCTCACATCAAAGAACAATATTACCACACAACCACAATAGTAGCAAGCGCTTTCAAAAGTAAATGTCTGGGAAAACATCTTGCAAGCAGCCTTGAACCTTTTGCCTGATAGCCACTCCTCCCACAGAGAGCGTCCCAATCCGGAGTCCAATGAGATCTCCTTAAAAAGGCACGAGACACAATGCAATGTCTGCGCTCATGATGAGTACAGCTTGGAATATTTACAGCTATTTCTAATACAAGAATCCATTCCAAACTCCACGGCCAGAAATATAATCAGGCAACAAATCTCAACAGGTGAACATTTCTGCATTGTTTTATTTGAGTGAAACCATACCACGCAAAGCCTTCTCAACCACTGGCTTTCACTCATTACCACAGACTCTTACCTTACTTAAATGAAACTCCAGTCTGCGGATAAACCTTTCGATAGACTTGATTTGCTGTCAGAGGGGAATAAAAATAAAAAAAATTCAACATTTGCCAAATCATTTACTGGCAGAACATCTGAAACTATTTTTATGCTTTTATGTTTATATCTTTCCAATGCTGAACTCATACTTGCCAGAAAACACAATTGTATATAACTCGCTCATATAAAGCCGCTGGGTTCAGTGAGTCAAGACAGTCAGCCAAATCATTAAATACAAAAAGTTTTATACACAGAGATGAGCAACACAGCTATAGAATCACAATCTGGAGCAGTACCTGAATGTCTGGGCAGACCTGCTATTTCGTTACAGGAAGAGTGAGTGAGGGAGAGAGGAAGGAGGGAGGGAGGGGAAGGATAAACTGGAACATTAGACAATAGTTAATCTGAAGACCAGCACCATAAACAAAGCAGCGCTCCCTCAGTACTGCACTGCAGAGTCAGCCTCAATTCTGAGCCCAGTGTCCCAGCACAGGGTTCGAAACCACAACCTCTGACTCAGAGACGAGAGTACAGTCGACTGAGCCACACTAACAAAGAAAGAGGCATGGAAATAAAATCAGATTCTCCATGTGTAAATATCAAGAGCATTGCTACTCCCATCATCAAACAGACAGGATTACAGTGGATCAATCTACCCTTACGCCACGACTGCACCATGGTAATAGTACTTTGGTTTTAAAGAAGGGGAAGGGGGCAAAGAAATAGAGAAGTTACAAACTGATGGGTACTGGGGAAGGTGTGGAGAAACACAAACTTTCAAAGACGAGAAGAATTTGGGCATATCATTTGTGTATTTTTTCCACTGTTCCCCCCTCCAGTTTTGCTGACTCATTGGTTGGCGAGTGACCATGCAAAGTTGGCTGAAATATTTATAGATTCGCAGAAGTGCTGCCTCTACATCATATCCAGTAACACTGTAAACTCTTACCTTATCAAGGTCATAGAGAAATCCCTGAAACAAAACAGATAAAAAAAAGTTACAATGTACACCGCATATTTAATAAATGTGGAAACCAATTTAAAGAGTGTAACACTATATGGGCAATAACCATATCCATTCCAGAGATTTTATCCAGTCAATCTTTTCCCTTTCTCCTTTTGTCAAGTCATTTGACTTCGACAGTTGACCACGGAACAAACACATGGGGACGGGGAACCACTTTATCGAATCCCCATTCAAATGCCTGCATTTTCCAACAGAAGTCTCTGGATCAGCTCATCTGCTTTGAAACCCTGGATGCCTTTCTCTCTATTTAACCCAGAGGCGCAAAGATCATCTGGAGCCCCAAATGTAGCCAGACTGAGATCGGTTCAGTCAACAGAGATAAGGATTTTGAGCTTATGATTTTTTGGGCTCCATGGCCCAAGTCTACTGGATCAGGGACAGGAGGGAACTTTTGAGGGAGCTTCAACTATGTTGAAGACTGTGTAGGTTGTATAGCATACTGGAGGTCCATTATATATATATATCAATAAGGGCATTTCAACATGCCGCGCTTTCTTTACACCCCAAGTTCCCTGATCACCCCTTCCAAATAAGCTTTGTTTGACCAGGTGAAACTAGAACAAGACAGGAACCTGACACCAATATTCGCCAATAGTTGTATATTGTCTTTACATGGAGCTAATGGTTGTTAAAGCCTTGGTTCTTTGAACTGATGGGAGAGAATGAAGATCTCAAAATGCATTGTGTACAGCAACATCCAATATCGAGTTCCTTCTGCATTTACCCGAACATTACTGGGTCTGTATCGCAGTAACATTAGCAAGCTTCAAGAATGATTTAATGTCCTTACCAATCGGGAATTCCGTTTCATGTCTTTGAGCTGAGACGTGAGGCTGTCGAGCTCCAGCTGGTGAACATGCAGGTAGGCACTGCAAATAACAGAGAGAGATTAATGTCACTGACCAAAACCACTGGCAACCACTGGTAAGCTCTACCTGGTTGGTGCATGTCTAGAAATGCAAAACCACCTCACAAAGAGACAGATAAGACATCACACAAGTGCAGTAATTCCATTTAGCTTCGGACAATCCAGATGCTGTATAATTTTCTCCTCCCACTCTCCCCAACATTTGGTGTCCAGTTATGAATTTGACCTGCTTTATCCATTTGGCTCATTGATCCAGCTAACCTGTTGCTTTCATTAAAGGCACAGGGATTTAATCCATCAATTGTGCATTGAAATTCCAATCACCTCAATGCCTTGCTACGCTGAAAAAAAACAAGCAAGACAGCAGCTGTAAAGTAATTAACTTTCCTATAGCTTTTCCAACAACCGGACTGACTTTCCATCACTTCACAAGGAATACTGCTGAAATACGTTCCAATGTACATTCTTTCCTCCTTTACCCCATACCAGTCACATGTGTTCAATAAAATAAAAATCTAATGCAGCAGCACCTATTGCACGTGGAATGCCCTGTACTGCTTGCTTTATAACTAGCCGCAGTAACTGAGCTCCAGCCATATGTTCGAGCCCTGCTCGTCATTCAAGTTTGCCTTGAAAAGAGGTGTCTTCGGGTAGACCTTACAGAGGTAACCAAGATGCTGAGCTGGATAGCAAAAGTGAAACCAGAACAATACCCCACATACCTAAAAGCAACAGGGCAAAAAGTCAGAGGTTTAGGGTTGCGAAGGGCAATTTTAGGACAGATGTCACTAAGTGTTTCTTAACATAGAGAGTAATTAATTACTGAAATGGGTTACAAGGAAGCATGGGGCACTGGACCTAATAAAGAAACACCTTGATCCTGTAAGTGCGAAGATGGTAGGGTCAAAATTCTGGAGGAATGAATGAGATTAAAATGGCCTTCTTAATTTGAATCTTGTGAAAACAGTTCAACATATCAAGGAAGCAAAAAAAAACACCAACTGCCTTGCCCAGTCACTAGAGTTTGTATCAAGCCCATCTCCTCTATGAATGTCATTTAGAGAGAAACCAAGGGGAGGATTGCAGATTAAAGGGAAGCTGAGGCAGGCTGCACCATACCATCGACTAGTATATCTACATAAGTCGTAGGAATCTTGCCAGAAGATGCAACACAAGGATGGAAATAGCTCAGAAGATGACTCATTTCTCTCTCTCACACTCGGCTTTCTATTGGACTGCATTGGAATCCCACAAATCCTTCCCCTCAAGGGTGTTGGAAAGACGCATCAGTTTCAAGAGCACAATGCAGCTGAACCAAATGTTCAAAAAGACAAGACAGCTGATATTCCATAGAAAGGAGTCCAGGTCTGTCAATTTGCATTGGATCGCAAGCACAGGCTGAAGGAGCTCTCGTGAAGCATTTACTAAAGTATGTAACATATCAGGAGATGTGTTTGTAACATATCATAATTAGATAAGTTGGCACCAACTGAAATAACGAATCCTAAACACGGGGAGGAAAAAAACTGAACGGACTCCTATTTATAGGACTCAAACTTTATGACATTGCTACAAGGGACACGATGGAATGCTAACAAACACAGAGGGAGGCTATCTGGCGATCTCTGATGGATCCTAGTTTCTTCAGCATCTGCTCTTTCCCACACCCTTTAAGGATATTATTCTTCACATGTTTATCTGATTCCAATTCAGCCAGGTACGTTTTACTAAGGTACTTTTCAAGCCGATTTCAGCAATAAAACCAATTTTATGCATTGTTCCAATCTGCAGAATCTAATCATAAGCCTTACATTTCATATAGCTCCTTTCACGTCAGGAGGTCATCTCAAAGCGCTTCACAGGGTTTGCTGTTGGGTGTAGTGACTGTATATTGTGTAGGAGAGCGAGAAAACAACATGGTATGTATTTTGGAAGGACAAGATCAAACTGCTACTCCTTTGAGTGGTCACGCAACAGGAGAGATGATGGATGGGCGATGGAGGAGCAAGGGATCCTAATCAGAGCTGTCCAGCTCACAGCCCTTCAGTTTCCAGGGTTAGCAATCTGGGCAATAGAAACTCCTAAACAAAATTTACTGGGACTTCAAAGCAAAAGCTCACAGTGGACTTGACCTGGGACAAAGGGGCTCATTAAAAAAAGTAAAGTGCTCCATCAACAGAATGTTGCCAAAACTTGGGCATTGGAGTGGTCCTAACAGGGCATCAACTCTCCTTAAACGGATCCCTTTCTAGACAACAATCCATGAAAACTCCGGGCAGGTACTTATTGGTCAAAATCGTTGTCCCCAAGACAACTGTTCCATCGTTACTCAGGGACAATCTAACCTTATAACGTGAGCAATGCCTTCACTTGAAGTGCCGTCTGCAGGCAGCTTTCCAAATGAACCTCAGCAGCAATACAGTGTTCATTGAATTGTCAACAACTGATGGGAGTCAAGTTTTTTTTTGGGGGGGAGGGGGGGAGAGCGGAGGCAGGATAGATAGGAAGAAAGCAAGGACTGGCTGACCTGATAGACTGGCTAACACAATTGGCACAAAGAACTAGTGAGAGTCAGCAAAGTGGGTCAAATCGCTGAGGTCGACAGTTCTTATTTCTTCCGCAGGCCCATCATGTCGGCTCAATTCACTGCCAGAATGTAGAATTCAATACCTTTACTGAGGTCAGACAGTAAACAGAGAAATGCCTAGTGGGTTCCAAAAAGCTTTGATGCAATCCAGAGAATTTGTTTGGTCCAGATTTCTGGAGTGACCTCCAATACCTCATCCAGTCTGGCCAGTCTCCATGCCAGAGCTTGGAAAGCAAGTCTACACTGGTGTGTGTGTTTGTGGAAGAGAATAAAAATCTCATTTGACGTCCTTTCTTGTTGTAGTCTTTGCAAAGTGGTCACGAACCTTGGTTGTTTGGCCTCTTCCTAACCCAGATGACCCTAACCTCGACCATCATCTGAACCGTGTGTTCCCCTGGCACGGCTGAATCACCGTTGCCTGCGTCACTAGGCCATGAATTCGCCTACAAGTACACAGTCGCTACACTTGACAGCAAGTCCTGTGAAACACTGAGCCATCTCGATGACATGATAAGGCTCCATGTCAAATGCAAGGTTTATTAGTATTAAGATGAATATTTCAATAAATAGCAGCTTGCACCAGTTTATCTAATTCCTAACAAACACAAGTCCTTACTTCAGGCCCTTTTTCAAGGCTTCGTAGACCTCATCCAGCCGCTCAGGCTGAGGAGTCTTGGGCGGAGGTGACTTGTGGGAAATGGTGAACATTTTCCCAGCTCGGGACGTGCTTTTCCTCTGGGTGGTGGGAGTGCTGAACACCTTTAGGTTCCTGCAAGAGAAGAAAGAATTCACAACGTCAGCACCAGCTTGGCAAAGCAGCGACGAGAGAAACCAGTCTAACACAACAACCAGTCTAACACACCAGCACCTTGGGACGTCTTCCCAATGTGAAAGGCTGATACAAATATAATCTGTTGTTGTTGTCTTTATGACGACAAAGGACCAGCAGGGAAGAGTCGCTTTCATTACAAAACTCGGAATTACTTAACTCAGAAGAATCTCATGACAGAAAGTGCCCTCGATGAGGAGAATATCTCTTATAGTCTTGCACCCATGTACAGAAATGCAGACCTACAACATACACAGTCACTAAACTTTACAGTAAATACTGGGAAGTGCTTTAAGAAGTCCTCCCGATGTGAAAGGCACTGTATTAAATGCATTCCTCTCCAAACCAACCAATTTCTGGTTTGAGGTTATAGAATCATAGAATCATACAGCACAGAAAGAGATCATTCAGCCCATCGTGTTTGCGCTGGGTCCTAAAAGAGCAAACCAACTCAATTCCACTGGCCCGCTTTCTCTCCATAGCCCTGTAATCCTGTCCTCCCCAAATAGCCATCTACTTCTCTCTTAAAAGTAGTTATTGAATCAGCTTCCACTACCCTTTCAGGCAGTGAATTGGCTTCTGAGCCCCATAGCTTATCGTGCAGGCTGAAATCAACCAAGCTTCGGATATCTATCCAGTATCGAACTGGCGTGTGAAACTGGCGTGTGAAACTGGCGAGAGTACGGCTGGTCTGACCCCCAATGCCCCCGTGGTAGTGGAAGGTATAACTGCCCTCCTTGGAGACAAGAGAGAAAGTGGTGCTGGGTGGCTCCACGTCTCATGTTATACATCCAAAGCTGAAGTCACTTATTCAGGGGAAGTTTCTATACAAGTCAGAACCGGGCACTAACTGTTTTTATATAAAAAAACAGGATCCTCATTTCACACTGCCTTACGTGAAGAAAGCACTCCATGTAAATAGGCATGTGGTAAAATGTCAACAGATGGGAGGTTTACTGAGCAAGCCAACACAGCTGAGCTGAACAAAGGGCGCTCTGTGTACACAAATACACTTGGTTTCATGCAACTTAGTCACCAACTTGATGTGCATCTGGAGCCAGAGATTCCAGGCCTCTTTACAGTAGGCCTCAGAACGACACAGCCTACCGCCTAGACTTTCTACCAGCGGCTTTTCAACGTTGCCTCCTATTTCGAGGCTTGGAAACGTCGAAACGCTTTTAATTCAGAATTTCAGACTTGAAAATAAGAGGATACCTTCGGAATCTCTCAAAATTGTTTAGGATTTAGACTACAGGTGACCTGAGTAACATGTGTTTGAATTGGCTTCAGAGCCCCATAGCTTATCGTGCAGGCTGAAATCAACCAAGCTTCGGATATCTATCCAGTATCGAACTGGCGTGTGAAACTGGCGAGAGTACGGCTGGTCTGACCCCCAATGCCCCCGTGGTCAAACAGGCTGCTCACACGTGAACATGAAGGGCAAGCCTGAAGAAGGGAAAAGAGCCAAACAGCTTCAGGAGCAAAAAGGAGTAAAATTGGAGAGAAACAAGCTGTCTAATAGCAGTGACCAACCCGAAGGTTGTGTAGTTATGTGAAGGTTAGCACACAGGGGCCACTTAAGCTTTCATCTCCCAGCAGGACACACTAGAGGCCAGAACATCAATGGAAGAGATCTTCATCCTGAGACACAGAAACAACCCGAAGCCATTCACTCACTCACCCCCAAGCCTGAATATTACAGGTCCAATCCAACCTTCTCTATCTGTGTTAACTTAGAACAGAACAGGTAAGGAAACAAACACCATCCTACTGCCTTAGATACTATCTATATGTATAAAGCACATTTCCCGCAAAATAAATTGATTTGAGATGCTTTACAAAAGGAGATGATTTTGAAATGAGGTGAGTGTTCCAGGCAACCTTGGTACCAACAACCTAAAGCGATGAGATGAGTCGTCAATTTGAATTTGAATCGAATTTGCACGAAGAGGAAATATGTACCAAGATACCCAGAGTGACTCACCGTCACACCGTACCATGGTTTTACTTACTCAGACAGCTATCAGAGGAGCCCAGAGTGTAGAAGCCTGGATCGACTGGGAATTGATTGTGTTTTCCAATTAGCTTGGTCACTATACAGCGCTCAGTGCTGAATGAATAACGGCTTTTCAGCCATGCAAGCTCAGTCCTTCCACAGGTCTGGTATGAGATCATTGGTTCTAACCCCAATCCACCCAACTCAATTACAGTCTTGAGGAAGTGACTAACCAGTCATAACTCTGCGATGGAGTGAAAGCTGCAGATATGAATGAAACATCACAGCTCACATCATTACATCCAACAATCTGCATGCTGCTTGATTCATGCATCATCCCACAGCAGTTAAGGTGATTCACCAACTATTTCAACATGAACATCTGTCTTTCTGTCTCTGCAAATGTCAGTGCCCGGATCAGACTCGCTCAGCCACTCAAAATGAAAATGAGTGGCTTATAGCGTGCTCCAACTTCCACAGTCTGTTTCACATATAAGCACTGCCCTGGGCTGCAGCCTTGCTTGAGGTTTATTCGTTTTGTACTCGTTGCAAGTACTTCCACATTTAGCTGTAAAACGAGGGTGGCGTCTGGTGTGACAAAGATCAGGAAGGGCTCAGATTAGACCAACTGCTTTGTGCTCAGTTAGCTCATCTCTGGCAAGATGCCAATCGAGAACACTAAAGATTGCTGTGTCATGGCTGTAAGGATGCCTGAAAGTCAGAAAAATGAGTCAGGTTCCCGACACCCATATACCAGAATCTTAATCTCGTTTCTCTGAAATACTTCCAAAGGCATTCAATTGATAACTTTGTACTGCAAAGTTCTCTTAACAGTAGAATTATCAGACCTGCCCAATTTCCCATCGCCACTTAAGACTACAGCTTCTGTCCCAGACGCAGAGTCTCAACCCAGGTAATTTGGGGGGGGGGCGGTGGGGGTGGAAAAATCAACATACTCGGGCACTAGCACAAAAAGCTGTATTATGCTGTATCGGCTCTTAAGACGATTCTGTGAAGTGCTTCAAGACATTCTGCTGACATGAAATATAAATATAAACGTATATAAATGTAAAATTAATTAGTGTTAAACCTAGTTTGGGGAGGATGGGGAAATTGGTCTTTAATACTCAGTGGGTTTCCCCTCCGTGTGTGCACATCCCTAACAAGAACGATTTGTCTTGTGGTGTATTGATACATCACTAACCTGAACGATTTGTCTTGCGGTGTATTGACTCCAGCGAAAGACTGGCTCCTAGTAATTCCTGTGAAGAAGATGCGGCGAACAGGCCGCGCTGACAGCGACATTGTGAACGGCGTCCTGGGCGGGATCCCTGTGGAAATCCAAAAAGAAAGTTTCCAATGAAACACCAGCAAGAAAGAGTACCGGTCAGAGAGAGAGACAGACAGAGAGCAAGAGAGAGAGTGCTGTGCAGGAAAACACCTTCCACATTTGCTGAGTGATTTGCTGTGATGTAAAAGAGCACAAGATCTTATAGCCTTCTTCTCACGTTCACGCCTCAGTTAATGTACCAAGTGCTATCAGTAGCCAGTGCTAATTCTTTTAGATACAAGCGGCAAATTATCTCTAATTCTGTCAAACGTACCTGCAGCCTTTTTTAAAAAAGAAAACACAAGACTAGTTCCGATGCAGAAGGCCCTTTCAGCCAATTTTATTGACCGATTCAGTCAATTCCAAACCTCTGGAACCTCAGTGTCGAGATTAAATGGCAGAAGGTTGATGACTATGTCCTGTTGCTTATTATGGCCGCATCATGCTGCAACTCAAACTCTGGGCATTATAATAGCGTATGTTCATTTGTAGACTGCTTTGCTGTTGTACAATGCAGTCTCCTATTGAAGAGAGCACCCAAATCAGATTTCAACCATTAACTGGCAAGCAAACATGCTCTGCTGATACAAAACAAAGGAGATACCGGTACAAGCCAATTCACTTGTACAGTTCTACGGGAAAAAAACACTGAGGCGATAAGCATCTCCTCACTACTTTTGAGCAACAACTCGCGCTTTTACTGCGTCTTTCACACAAGAAACATCTCGAAAGCGCTGGAACATGAGCGTCGAGTCTCATATCCAGACCGCAGTCTTTATAAACCTATCCACTTGTTTAATTAGGGACCTCAGATCCACCCACCCTTATAGTCAGTCAACCCTGCAATTACTCTTACCCACTACCCACGGCACAGCAAATGCACCACAACACACTCTAGGCGTCCGAAAACAAACACGTTGCTTCACCAAACAAACGGGAAAACTAATCTTAAAAAAAAACCCACCTTGTTCTATTCCAGCACTGGGAGCTTCTATAGAAACAACAGTCTTCTGGTCATAAAACGTGTGGAACAAAGAAGCGACGTATAATTCTGCTGTTAGATTGCTGGGGTGGGCTCCCTGTAAAAATCCATTCTAAGCAGAATCGGACAAATTATTTAACCTTCAGAGACTCAGTGTCTATCTTTCCCTCTGTGTTACATTAAGCCTTTGCAAACACTAGCACTTTGAGTAATGAAGATCCCTCCCTTCCATCCCCGGCACCATCAATATCTAAAACTACTGCCCATCTATCAATCCTGGCAGCACACAGCAGTTACGTTCAGAATCCCCGAGACAATCAGTGACTGGCGCTGTCAACTTCCAAACATTAATCGCTAACTTGTGTGTGGAGTTCATGGCCTCCTGTCAAGTGTTACAATGCATCCACACATGGTATTTGTTGTCATGTGTGGGTCACGTGAGGAAAGGACAGAGACTCTCTGGCAAACGGAGCCTCACATGAAACCCTTCCAGCACTGAACAGCCTTTGAAGCTTTCCAATAAAAGCCAAAAACTTCATTCAAACCAACCCAACGTGAAAGGCGCTATATCGAATGCAAGGATTATTATTATTATTATTATTTTAGTCATTCCATCAATTACTCATCAGTCAATTCCTCAATCCACTCAAACAACTGATCCAATCCATCATTCCAGGGAAATCATTTGACGGCTTATAAAATGCCCACAAGTGGGGAAAATAGCTTAAAATAAAAAAAATAAAATGTTATTTTCCACTTTCCTGGAAAACACTCACATATTCACGGCAGGCAGGATAATTGCTTTCTTAACTGCAAAACCTTATACTGCACATAAATGACCGATGGGCATGAAAATGGAAAATTCAAAACAAAAAAAGATGTGCGGGACATTATGAAACTATTTAAAGTTTCAGCGAGAGCGATCCCATCCCCGCACAGAGACCTGATTGGGGCTTTTCACCACTGCTGCCATGGCACTTGGTACTGAGACACCTTAACAGGGAGTCAAAAGGGTCTGTAGGTGTGTGTGTGTGTGAGTACATGTGTGTGAGAGTACATGTGTGTGCGAGTGTGTGTATGTGTGAGACAGTGTGTGTGAGAGAGAATGTATGGGTTTGTGAGAGAGAGAGAAAAAAGAGAATATGTGTGTGTGTGTACGTATGGGGGGGAAGAGGGGGAAATGGAAGGAAGTTACACTTAACCTCGGCCCAAGTGTCCGGTTACATTGAAAATTCTGAAGCATGTGCTTGCAGCACAAGACCAGATTCTAACAGTATCCAAAGTGGGCAAACAGCAGACTTATGCAATTGCACAACATGCACCAAGTAGGCTAGCGGCAGAAACAAATACTGTACAAGCAAAAGAAACCTAATGTAGGATTTATTCTGTCCATGTTCTCTGAACCCCATCCTGGAGCTCCTTCCGACTCGCTCTCGACCTCCCTTCCGTCATTCAAGGACCCGTGTTCAAGACGTACCTCTTTGACTGCACGTTCGGTCATCTTCCCCCCCCATCCCACAGCCACTTGGCTCCCACTCCGCAGCCGTCGGGATTAAGTGCTTTAGGACGTCTTCCTGACATGAAAGGCGCCGTACAATATATATTGTGTAAGACTGAAGACGAAACAAGCAGCAGTCGATGTGCACGAAGAGTAAAGAGAAAAATGAGCAGCGTGCAAGTGCAGCAACTCGAACAGAGAGACTCTGTGCGAGAAGCCTGCAGCTCCGAGAGACGACACGGAGCAGAACATGGCTGAAATCAGGGCGGGAGAGAAACAGGCAAGTAATATGGAACTGAAGAGCCAGAAAGTAAGTGGCTGCTGTTAGAAAACAATTTCACAAGATCCACTAAACGCATGAATTAATTTTCACATGGGTTTGAAAGCCCAATGTTGAATGGTTGAGTTGCCCCCAAATCACCCCCCCCCAACCCCACCTCTCGGAGTCCTGTAGCTCAGTGGTTAGAGCACTCGCTTTGCAAGTGAGAGACCTGAGTTCATTTCCAGGCAGAGGGCGAAACCTTGGGCAAGTTTCCTTACTCCACACGCCTAATAATAATCCCTCCAAAAACCAAAAATAATAATTAAATTGGTCATTTTCAATCTAGGACTGTTTGTGGGACATTGTTGTGCGCAATTGGCTGCTGCGTTCGCCCACAAATATACAGTCAATTTACTTTACAGTGTGTTCTGTGAAGCGCTTTGGGACGTCCTCCCGACGTGAAAAGCGCTACATCAAATGCAAGGATTATTATTATTAAAACTGTGAGTCAACTTCAGCATATGCGAACCAATATTCTGCGAATCATCGTTTCTGGCAAAGATGAACAAAAGTTAGGGAGGGACACTGATAACATTTGAGTGATTAGGCATTTTTCTATGTAACTAGGCTATTAGCAAGTTTTTACTTTTTGTACCAGTAAAGAGGTTCTCTCTAGATATTTCTTCCACTGAGACAATACCTTCACGAGTGGATTTTAGGCACAAAACCCCACATCTTTGTGGGGAGCAAGAGGGAGGGGGAAAGGGGTCCAAAAACTGCATCTGAGCGCTCAATGTAAACTCGTCAATCTGATCCCAAAGTCGAGGCTGAAACTCCAATGCAGTGCTGGGGATGTTGGATTTGCAACCCTTCAGATGAGATGGTATATTCAGGCAGACGTTAAAGAGAATAATTATAATCCTTGCATTTGCGTTGTCTCAAAGCACTTCCCAGGATTTTATTGTGAATTCTAAGGACTGTAATTGCAGGCAAAGGCAGCAGCCAATATCCCTTGGCACAATTTTAAAAAAAGGGAGTTTCTCCCGGTGTACGGGTCAACAATCCCCAAAATAAACTTGGTCATTCATTTCATGGCTGTTTGTAGAAGATTGCCGTGAGCAAATTGGCTGCTGCATTTGCCTAAGAAATACACAGTCACTACATTTCTCACAGTGAATCCTGTAGAATGCTTTGAGATGTGCTCCTGACATGAAAGGCGGTATATCAAATGCAAGGATTATTATTTAATTAAACTTGCACAAAAGAGATTCCTGGCAGAGAACTAGGTGCAAGGCACCTGCCAGCCTTCAGTGGATAATTGTGCACAGTAAATAACCCAAAGAGAGGCATTTGTATGTTAAAAATAAAACTGAACTCAAGTCTAATAAAAAGATCCCGCTCGCTACAATAAACTAATGACATGGATGATGTCCTGACTTTGGAACATGCCTTTTTGTTGATTGCAATCAAGTGTCACCACTGTAGTGTACTCTCTCTCCGCTAACACATATACACAGACACGCAGACCTCTTAAGTGCTCCAGTCAAATGCAGGCTAAACAATATTTAACTTGGCTCAGGACAATGCATGAAACATTCCGTAAACATTTACTTTAGAAAATTTTGCAAGTTGATTAAATAAGTGCAGCTCACCGCCATTGTACCCAGCGGTATCAACTGGTGTGTGCAGCTCTCGACCTGTGTGTTAACACACTGTAAACTGCCCCTTTACCTCGCTGGTACCATTCAGCCCCTGTAGCGGAGCCAGGAGCCTGGTGCTACACTGTGGCTCCATCCTCATCCCTCGCACCCTGGACTCATTACGAGCAGAGCTCACCTATGTTAATGGACAGAACTCACTTGCTAAGCAAGGAGGAAGCTGGACTGATTTAAATATGCACTGAAGGAGAGAGAGGTCTTCAACTTGACCCGTCGAGTGGCTCATGTTGAAATGTCTCGAAAGTGCTTCACACACAGAAAGTTGCTTTTGAAGGGGAGTGACCATTATGTGGATAAATGCAGCATATCTCTTCAAGCCTCTAATCATTCATATATCTGTCCGCTTACCTCTTCTATACAAATGTAAGCTTGTTGTTGTTGTTTAAGCCCATAAAGGACTCTGCTTTTACCACCTTACCTGCATTGGGTGTTCCACATCACAACAACTCTCTATGTGAAAAGTGAAAAGATATTTCATATTCCAGTGATATATCTGTGTTCCGGTCACCGACTCCCTTACCAGTGGAAATAGCTTCTCCCT